TTTTTTTAAGTATTAATCAATGATTAATTTTTAATGGCGATTAACAGTCAATATTTACTCATCATTATTGAATTAACAGAAAGACTTACTATAAAAATAATTGAAACAAAATTAAAGTCGACGTATATATATTTGCAAAAAGCATGAAATTGAGGATAATTCTATATATTTTTCTTAATAAATAATAATAATTTTATAAATTTAAAACTTATTCCATAACCAATTTTACTATTAGAGAACGCTAAAATTAGAAAAAAGACATATAAAGTGTTAAAATTTAAGCGCAAAATATTGAAATCCCATAATAACTATATAAATAAAAAGTATATAGTGTTTGTCCTTTCAAATAATATAGAGTTGTGTCATTTTAAATGAAAAAAAAAACACAAGCAATAAAAATTATGGAGATAGAAAATGGATATTTTTTAATTTAAATTTTAAATAAAGAAATATTAATTTATATTTTTTTCACTTAAAATGACACAATCTATATTCTTTTAAGGAAAAATTATTTCTCCAGTGAGCTCAAAACGAGGTCGTTTTGAGTTATAAGATTAAAAATTTATAATGAAAAGACTAATATAATCTTATAATATATTAAAATTCCAAAAATACCTTGTCTCCAAACGACGTCATTTTGGGCTCACCAGAGATAACATATCTCCGTTGACGGGAGAAATCATTTACTCTTTTTTAAAAAGACAAACATTTTGTTTTATGTTTTTTTCTTATTTAAAATGACACAATTCTATATTCTTTAAAATGACAAATATTTTTCTCAAATAAAAAATCAAAAAACTCATTGTCTATAGACATGAGTTCAAACCCACTATTAACAAGTGATATTAGAATTTTTTTTGACTAATGAGTGTTTGGAGATGGTGATTAAAAAAAAAAGACACGTACATTCATCGCAATTTATCCCTTAACCATGAAAGGGACTCGTGCGGCTTCCCTTGAGTTCCGCGCGATTCGGGCATGTACACTTCATGGATAAAAATAGTGCTGCATAATTTTCAGGCAAAGTATAAAAATGAGAAAACGGTAAAGCAAGGAATATAATATAGGACCCAATATATAAATAAGGTAGGAGGTTGTTGTTAGATGAATTCAAACCGTGAGCATGCTTATTCCTGCTCCTCCATTTATTTCTAATAAAGAAAAGGATTCTTAAATTTCTGACTATTTTTTTTTTTAATCAAATTTCTGACTAATTGACTATTATAGTATAGTTTAAAAATAATTACTACAATAATATATTGTAATTTTTTTATCAATGTAATATAATTTAATTACTTTTAAATATGTAAGCATATAAATATAACGCGTGTCACTTACATGATTGATTCTATAATCAAAAGTAATCAAATTATATCACTTTAGTTATTAATTTTCAAATCATATTATTTTTATCATCCTTTAAAACTATGATATATTGATCATTCTCCATAAATTTATTTATAAAATAAATAATATATATTTATCTTTGAATTTTAATAGATTAAGATCTAAAAAATATTTAAATTAAATTTATAGTAAATATTTTTTAAATAATTATTTCAAAAGAATTCCTTTAAAGTTTGAAATTTATTATAAAATATTCTATAGGAATTATTGGATTTACGCGAAAGCAATTTAAGGACCTAGTATATCTATATGTTTATCGAATTATCGTCGTCTCACAAACACGTAGAGCATACCTCTTTGAGCATAGATCTATGAGCGACCTCTTTGTGTGTAAAGTCCCTTCATAAACTGATATCGTCTGCATCACAACACGAATAATCTCCTTGTAATTAGTTGGCGATAGATCTTCTAACTACAAGGAAAAATGTGTTTAGTTTTAGTCTAGTCTTATTTATAACGAATAATCTCTTCAAGATTTTAGGGGAGTAGCTTTTCCTCATTTAGTTTTAGTCTAGTCTTATTTCCTCTTTGTATTACAAAAAAAAAATAAAAAAAAATCACAAAAATACTTGTTATTTATTTCTGGTAATAAAAATCAGCTAATGGTAGTATTAAATACTCCTACATCACTGTTTTAAGGTATTAGTTAACAGAATTAGTATCAAAATATATATTGTTTAAAATTTTATATAAAATTAAGAAAATTATTAAATAAATTTAATACAAAGTATAATTATTTTTTTAATTACCACATAGTGAAATACTCGAAATTTTATCATTTTCAGCTAATTTTATTCAATGAAAATATTTACTTATTTTTGTAGATATTCAATGAAAATATATTAAAAAATAATAAAAAAAAATTATATAAAAGTTTATGAAAAAAGTGTGTCCCATTTTATAGGATATAAAGTTGTGTCATTCGAACTTTGAAGTAAGAGAAAGAGATGGATCATGGGGGAGAGAGAGTGAAAAAAAAAAACTTGGATACCACTTTTTTGTGAGAGTGAAATGACACAAGTTGTATCATTTAAAATGACAGATATTTTCTCAAAATTTATATCTTTTTGATTTCTTAAAACAACGAATAAAACAAAACAAAACAAAACTCATTGTCTAAAATGGTAACTTTTGAAGCGGATATTTTTATAACTGATTTTCTATTTATATAATCCTCAAATGGGTATGTCGATATATAATTAAAAAATATATTTTAATTGACACAATCAAGATTATTTAATAAAGAAAAAAATTAGACTGCAAATGAATGAAAATTAAATCCATATAACATAGGAAACCAAACTAAAAAAACTTAATTCAGTTATCGGTACCAACAAAAAGAAAAAAGAAAAAAGAAAAAACAAAGTTAGGTAAAGATGATGATGTACAGTGATGTAGGTGGGGAGTGTGACAGAGTGAGGTTGCGTATGGATGGATAGCCCCTATTTATTACTTAATTGGTAACCCTGTCCCTCCCTCCCAACTACATTTTCTTGTAGAGCATTCTCATTGCTACCTGTCTCCAACTCAACGCTTCCCCTTTATTATGCCATTAATTTTTCAACTGTACCAATCATTAATTCAATCAAGGTGAATGAGGATATTCGAGGAAATTCAAAGTATGTATTAAACAAAACTACTTAAAAATAAATAGAACAAATAAACAGGTTCGGAATTTATAAGAGATAAATTAAATAAGGACATCATTTTATATTAATATTAGTGTAAGAATAAAAATCTTACACTCGAGTTATTAATCTGACTAGATCTATAATTATGATAAGAAAGTGAGAGAAAAAAATTCTGAAAAAATAGAGAAAGAGTCATGTAATATTAATTAATTGTTAATTCAAAATCAGTAATTGTTAAGATTTTCTAATGATAGATATTTCAGTTTGTGAAAAAAGATGTTTCAAAATAGCAATAACAGTTTTTCAAGCAAAAATTATTCTTGTATTTAAAAATATAAAAAAAGAGAGAGAACATTGAAGGAAACATATTAACGGTCCAATACCCTTATACTTCATCTATATTTATTAGGTATTGCATAATCTTTTTAATCAATCTCTTCTGGAGGAGGGCTGCTGCAACGACTCAGAGTTATTCAATTTTTTTTCTTATTCATTAACGGTCCAATATCCTTATAGTTCATCCATATTTATTAAAATTTATTCAATATTTCTTACACATTGAGTATGTTTGAGTTTTTTCTCTAACTCAATGATCTATTTGTAAGCTAGTGTGAGTTACTGATCATGATTTATTTTTTCAAATACTTAAAATAAAAGTAATAAATAAAAACTGAAGTATTAAATATATTTATGAATCATTTAATTGAAATAAATAAAAGAACTATAATTAGGTTAATTAGTTAAGAAGATTTAGACTTTCTCTTTAATTTAGCAATATGTTTATGAACCGCAATGGGCTAGTGACCATGATTTAATTTACCGAAATACCAAATCTTATTAAGATATGCTTGAAATTCACTTAATCATTAAGGAACAATATTTAATACCGTAAAGTATTAAAATTATCTAATACTTCTTTATTGAGTAATTAAGAAGAATTATAATTGTTCTTTAATTTAATAGTGTATTCATAAACCAACAAAATTTAACCACTTTTTCGTGAATAAGAATAGGAAATGATATATATAATATTGGTAAGATTATATCTTATCACATGTTTGATGTGTACTAGATAAATAATAAGATAATTTTATCTTAGTATTTGAAACGAAGATTATAATATTATGAAATGAAATAAATAGATAAACATATCATTTTATAACAAATTTTTTTGTAATATTTAAAGATTTTTTAAATTACTTTTTTTAACTTATTTATATATTAATTTATATTTTAAGTTATTAAAAAAAAGTAACAACGACAATGGTAATGATAGTAATGGGTATTTAATAACCGACGTCAATTGATCGGTGGCAAGAGCTGACTTTCACATGTATTGGCAAAATTTAAAGGATAATAAAAAATAACTATATTTTTGATGAAAGGGTTTTATCTTATCATATTAATTCTTAATCCAAGTTACCATTACGATAACTTATCTTATTACAAAGATAAGAGTCATCGGAATATACACATTCTGCTGGTTCACAAAACTATGGATAAGAATGGAATATGATAGTGTATTTTATCACATCGTCTCTATCCTAATCACCAAATGAGCTTTAGTATTATGATATAATTTAATTTATTATGGATTTATAATAGTGTTAAATTTTTTCCTAAAATAAGTTTAAAATAGTATTAATTATGCAAAACAAAATATTATATGAAATAATAAAATTATTTATTTAGTTCCGGAACTTTTTATTAACTTTTTAGGGAATTGAAAGAATATTTATTAGATAATTATTAAAATAAAAACATTTAATGCACTGAAATCTCGAAAATTATTTAATATTTTTTTTTTTTACTGCAAGTAATTAATTACAATAAATCAATTAAGAGAAGAATTGAGTGACTTATTATATTAGCAAACCTCAGTGGCATTTGTTGAAGTTTATGGGACAAAGAAGGTCAATTTGATAAATTGAGAACTATATATGAACCCCACCTATCTCTCTTGAAATCTCACAACAAATCAAGAAAAAGAAAAAGAAAAAGCAAAAGCAGATCTCAGAAAAGAAGATGTCTCTAATCACAGAGGATGTCAAAGCCAGAGCAGAGGTGTACCATGGAGATGAACTCTGCCAAGTGAAGTCAAAGGAACTGCTCAAGGAAATAGCTCTACCCAATGGTCTTTTACCTTTGAAAGACATAGAAGAGTGTGGTTATGACAGGGAAGCTGGGTTTGTGTGGCTTAAGCAGAAGAAGAGTTCAACCCACAAGTTTGAAAAGATTGGGAAGCTGGTCTCTTATGCCCCTGAAGTCACTGCATATGTTGAACATGGCAAGATCAAGAAGCTCACTGGTGTGAAGACCAAGGAGCTTTTGCTTTGGATCACACTCTGTGATATCTTTGTGGATAATCCACCCACTGGCAAGATCACTTTCAAAACCCCTTCAGGCCTTTTTAGGACATTCCCAGTTTCTGCTTTTGAAATTGAAGAGAAACCCATCGACTTCAAGGACAATAAGCAAATCAATGATGCAGCTGGTGCTGTGCAAGTCAAAGAGATCTGATTCTGTCTGTGTCTCTCAATTACCAAGAAGCGGTGGCCGTGGCGGTGGCGGTTAGTACTTAATGGTGATTTATAAGTTAATGTTACTCTTAATCAGATTCAGTGCTACATTTAATTAGTATTGAATGTTACTTATGTTTCCGAATTAAAAAGAAATGAATTTACAATATCCATTATTCCTTTTTTTTTTTTCAACGCATCTTTGGATAGAAGGGCAATTTAGATTTCTGAGATCCATGGGCTGTTCGCAGTTTACGGAAGATTGATGTTGAATTTAAATCCGTATTTATTTAACAAGTAAATATTTAGCGTTAATTTCACGCGTGCAAATGTAAAGGAAGTTAAGCGTCTGATTGATTCTGTTTTGATTTTTTTTTAGAATAATTATGGAAATACGTGTTTTGTTTCGGGGATTTCTTTTAGGGGGCGTTTGGTTTAGAATTTTTTTTAGAATAATAGAGAAATGAGATAGATAGAGAAACGATTGGAAATATAGATAAAGTGAGATAGGTAAAAAAATGTAAAAAAAAGTTGTTTGGTGGGGAAAAACTTTATTGGGAAAATTAGGTAACTTTATGAAATCAACAGTGCATTAAAAGCCAGATAACCGGTTTTCCGAAAAATCTCACCTTCAAATTGGGTTTCTAAACGGTGCGGATATATCTATGTTTCTCATAAATCTAGACAAATTGGATAGATGGGTTTTTGGTGAAAAACGTTGAAACAAACATGGTGTTTTTAAAAGCCATACTTGAGAAAGATAAATATCCGCTGAAAAGCTCCCAACCAAACACCACCTTAGGGATCTATTAAAAATCTCATAGTTAATTATCTCATGAGATAAGATAGCGGGGTCCACATTATTTATTTATTTTTGTTTTTTTACAAACAATGGATCTCACTATTTTGTCTCTGTTGCATGAGATAATTATCTCATGTTATGAGATAATTATTTTTCTTTTTTTATTTTAAAAAATAAAAATCAAAACATGAAAAATAATATAATTGTTCTCTAAATTTGATTTAAAAAAAGGTTTTACTAATCTCATGTCATAGAAGATAAATTTGTGGGCTTCACTATCTAAAAAAAAAAAGTGGCACAGTTATCACACGTACTATAAGAATAGTTTTTCCCTTAAAAAAATAGTTATAATTTATAAAATTATTTTTATAAAATAGATCTTATCAAAAGTTTTATTTTTTTATTTTAAAAACCAAAAAATTCTTTTTAAGAATAGTATTCAAACAAGGCCTAACTTTGTCTACCAAAAAAAAAAACAAGGTACTTCAAAGTTTAACCGATCTCGATCCTCTAATGTGAAAAATCACATGATCATGTCATGTGAGAAATTATAACCATACAAAGGTAAATCAATGATAATAAAGGAGAAGAGAAAAAATATATTAAAATAAGTAGTTATAAAATCATAACCGTTGATTTATTTTTGTATGATTGTGATCCTCTCACGTGACCATTTCATATTATTTTTTTTTGACATTAGAGGATCCACAGCCTTTTATATATGCATTAAGTTTTCCGACCAATTCAAAATAATAACATGAAAGAACATGAACGCAGGTGCGAGCAATAGATTGATTGTTGTTTCTCTCTCTCCTCTTTTTCTTCCATCGCTTGCGTTTCAGCTTGTCTAATGGAAAATTTCCCCTAATCTTTTATGCGAGTGAAAGTAAACGGAATTTCGAATTGGTACAACATTTGGTGTTGAGGTGAAACATTGTCTTTTAATTGAAAAAAAAATTAACACTCAAGATTCCAGAATTCTATCAATTTAAACAATTAGTATTTTCAACCTATAATCTTTATATAAAATTAACCTATCAATTGTCATCTACCCAAACCATAGATAAATTTTGTTAGTATATACATTACCACTCGAACTGTATTCACTGGACATGAAAAGAATATGGTGATGTAAAGTTCCGTTTTTGGCCAAAAGAAAGCGTAACAAGTAGAAGTCACATAAAGAACATGAACAACATTCCAGAATTATGAAAGTTTGTAATGTAGGGAGATAAAACAAGCCGGACATTGCGGGTAAAGGAAAGGCTGCCAAACGAACACGATTCAGAAAGCATGTACTGGAAACCTCATAGGATTTCCTAACAGCATCATTTAATTGTAGTGGGTATACTAATTTAAAAGGCATTCACAAACCCAATTTTTTTTTATCACAAGGGCAACCTCTTTCGGCTCCCCTAGCATATGTCCAATATAATGATTTAAATCAAAGCATCATCTGGCAAGATGAGTTCAAGTTTGATTCAAATGGACTAGCAAGTGCTCTAACAAATTTTACTACCACTATTCTCATGATCGGGAGTGAAATTTCGTTCTCATCATATGTTTTCCATTTCGTTCTCTCTCCTTTCTCTCATTCTCAAGATGGTATTAGAGTCTCGTCGTCTCTCACTTTCTCTTGTGGCGTTTCTTAGCACAGGTAGGCTGAGCCTGTTGCATTGTCCACTCTTCAACCCCAATGAGCTCTCGTGTGAGGAGGCGTGTTGAGATATATAGTCCCGTTGTATGTGCAACTAATGTAGAGTTTATAAGGTCTTGGGCACTCTCACCCTTTGAACTAGCTTTTAGAGTGGTGACCTCAAGATTAAGAGTTAGCACTTAAAGGAACCTTTGACATGTTAAAGGAACCCTTTGACAAAACTCTCTCTGTGTGTGTGTGTGTGTGTTTATTATTATTAATAAATCGATTTATAGCTCCCTCCAGCGTTCACAACTTCCATGCCAGGAAAAAGTTTCAACCATAGCATTGCAAAGTCAAGATCTTCAAAACAAGAAATATTTTGAATGCACAATGCTACATGGTTTAGTGAATTTGACGGATACTTTCCTTCGTGCTATACTTATTTAATTCCGACCAAAATGCTAGCACTCATTGATTTTATCAACCATATCTATGAAAAAGACAAAAATGTTAAAATCAAACATTTAATCTACAAAGTCTACCAATAACAGCATTAACGAATAACCGAAAAATAGTCACCCCTTTTGTATTTGAAACCATTATCTCAGCATCCATCGTTAGTTTCAAAGGAAAGACAATTTACATGTAAAGGCATTCCGTAGAAATAGGTACATTTTTAATGCAGCTAACATAAATAGCAGACAATACCTACCTATAAATTTCTCCAAACAAAGACGAGGACGCAGACCTAAAGCTAAAAGTCGTTGAGGCATATTAAATTTGGTAGCGACAAAAATTCTAGACCATAAACACAAGTTGCCAAACATGTAAATCCACCCTGATAATTTTTATTAATTGACTTATAGGTTGATAATTATCATTCCAATATGATATTATAAAGGTGAATTTTTTTCCATGGGAAACCGTAGATTTTATTTTAAAATATCCATATATTATATATTATGAGAATATTCGATTAATGTAATAAAAACATCACACATGATAACAAACCAATAGTAGTTTCTGAAAAAAGGAGAGACAGATAGAAAAGAAAAAAAATTCCTTTTGCTATGAACAAGAATGGTCCTCCCTGCATAGTGTTGCCATGGCCTGATGTAGCCTTAACTGGATCTGGGTGTGGTGAAATTCCATTTCGTGAAGTATATATACCTTAAGTTGTCAAAACCAACTGTAATTCCAAGAAATGAGTAATACTGTACTTGAGCTCTCTATTAGATAATTATAGTACATATAATAGTCCTAGCCTAATTAATTAATAAATTATGTGATTAAATAATTAAGCGTGCATCATGAGTAAAATTAAGTGTAGGACTTAATTAAGTGAATTGGGGTCACTTTTGAGATAAAAAATGTACTCAGTGAAAATTAAGGGGTATAGGTAAAATTATCCAAAATATAAAAATGAAAGTGAAATTATTTCCAGAAAAATATTCCAGACCTTTGGGTAGAGTTTGGTGGTGAATGAAGTTGAATAGATAGATAAGATAATACGCGCTTGATTTCACTTAACATGTGTTAAGTGACTACAAGACAAGGAACCAACTCATTTTTTCCCCCATTCCCGTCGAGACAGGGAAAGAAAAGAGTGAGGGTTTGGAAGCCATAGGAGAAAAATCATAATTTCCTTGATTCTCAATCGTTTTTCTTGATTCCGAAGCCTAAATCACTCTAAATCTTCTCCTCTTTCATAATCCAAGCTTAGTTTTGAGTGGGAGGCTTTGTGGAGAGAGATTTCACTCTCCAAAATTTCAACCCATATGAAAAGTGGAGGAGTTTGGTAGCTTTTACCTCCATGGGAGCTTGAGGAACACCCATCCTATTGTTGTGTGATCATCTGTGATACGTTTTCACTCTCTTTCACATGATTCCTTAAGATTTTCATGAGTTTAGGTTATGGTGAATAGTGTTGTTAGGGTTTTATGATAACGTGAGTAGATTGGCTATATTCTAAGAGCAATGAAGCTTGGTGTATGTTGTGAAAAATGCTAGGAATGATATTTAATCGGTGAAAATGAGTTTAGATGGTCATATGATTATGCTTTGAAAATTGCAAGATTATATACTTGATTGTGAATTTGCTTGCATTGGTAAACAACGGGTTGGTTTGGTGGGATATTGATTGTGTTTCATGTGATGGCTAGGATTGAGGCAATTGGACCACCCTTGAGTGACCAACCATTGGAGGGAGCTATGGAGCTTGATTAGCTCATTGGAATAGGTAAGTCCATGCTTTTGTTGTGGCATGAATTGGATAGTTTGGTTGATGATTATAAGATACTCTTGAATCCAATGTTTTGATTGCATTACACATTGTGTAGGTGGTTGTGTGTGAAGTTGATTATTGTAATTGGTGGCAAAACTTGTTGGTGAACAAAGGTTGAACTGAAGCTTTGAGGTAAGCCTTCAGACCTTGGGTGTTGATCCCTTATTTGTTCCACCAAGCCCGAAAGGGGTAGTGGTTGTTGATAGTGTCTGTAAATGCAATAAGGTAGTTTAATGCTTTGTTATACGTATGTGTATGCATTTGGTGTGGCATAGGATGGTGTTTCCCTATGTTGGTATGTTGCATGACGATGCGTAATTCATACTTGGTAGTTTAGCTGGCCAATAGGACTATTTGCATCTGAGTATCCTTAGGATAGCTTGAGAGCTCGAGGGATTTCTCCTGGAGATGTTTGTTACACACTGCATGGATATGTGTTTATTGCATTATTTATTGTTATTGCTATTACACTGTGATTGAACTATGAGGTGGAGAGATGCTCCAAGGACCCTTGGTTTACTGTGATATTCGTATATCTCACCCCGTGTGGTGGGGACCGCCTTTCAGGTAAAGATGTTGCAGGAGCCTCCGGTGGCAAGTGGCCATATTTGGATTAGTAGATGCATGAAGATGTTGCATTCTTTTGGATTATACATGACATGTAGTAGTACCATGTATAGGATTTACATTTGAAAGCCAATTGCTATATGTATGTCATCTTCTATTTTGATGGACTTAGCCTATGCTTATCTTCTTTGGTATCTCTTTTGTTGATGGGAACTAAAGATTTGATCATAGTGTTTTGTAGCTAAGTCACATGATTTTGTAATTAAGACATGTTGCAATGATGTAATGTTGTAATTATTGGATATATATATATATATATGATGAAAGGGTATGCATGTTTCCTTTAGTGTAGGAGTACCTTGAAGGATTTAAGAATAATTTATTAAAAGGATTATATGATGTCAATTAGGTGAAAGAAGACTTGTAGTTGGAAAATCCAAGTAAAAGTAAAGATATCATGTTTTGTTGTCCATTCTCATATCCTATATGATAGATTTGGACCCTTGTGTCTTAATGGAAGTTGTAGATCTTCTTCTTAACTTTCCAATGAGACCAAGATTGTGCAAATAGGAGTAGTATAACTAAAGTTACGGATGAAATACCAAATGAGGTCAAATTGTACTGTGGAGGGGGCTTAAGCCTGAAAATGGAGGCTTAAGCTCGCTCAGGGGGCTTAAGCGCCCTGATGCACCTGTGAAGGCCAAAAACCCTCTGTCGGTGGGCGCTTTAGCGCCCTGGAGCGCGCTTAAGCGTCATTGGTAGCCTAAAAATCCCATCTTCATCTGCCTTTGGGCGCTTAAGCTCCCTGTCGTGCGAAAAACTGGGTCGTGGAGGACGTTTAAGCGCTCTCAGCATACACACGATTTAGTAAAATTGGCATAACTTGAGCTACGGAGCTCCAAATTAGACGCGGTTTGAACCCACGCGTAGCTAACAAAGAGATTTATAACCTAGTGTGAGATGAGAACTATATAGTAAGTAAAGGAGTTCCAATTTAAGAAAAGGTGAAGAAAGTTTTGTAGTGAACTCGAACCGAATGATAATATGATGTTAAGCTTAATTTATTTTGTTCCGCAACGTAATATGGTTATTTTAAATTCGGCTTTGGTCAAAAAGAAAAATTTATCCGAATTTATAATTGAACTAACGTGATTGTAACTGCGCTTAATATCATAATGCGATGTTAACAAACCGGTTCTAGAACAGGGTGTTAGAGTACACTTCTATTATTGATGAGTTGAAGAACAACATTCAAAATTGGAAGGATGTAATCAACTGCAATTATTCAATGAAGGCTCTAGCTCCCGCACTCTGTAGTATTACCCAAATAAAATTCTTATATTAATCCGTTATGTTTATCAATGAGAGAACTGGATAATGGCAAGTTCTTTTTAGCCTTCTATGAATATTAATTCCACCATGAAGTTATATCGGCCACAGTACAAAACTGTTTTAAGTTCGCAAATGCAGCATTATATATGATAAAATAAAATCTATCCAGACGGGAAAATATGTAGATAGACTCTTTAGAACCAGTTAAATCAATATGCTATGATAACTGGCGGAGAAAAATTTATTTATGTCTAACAATGGGGTTCGGGGCAGAACCCCCGATTTGTTATTTTTTATTTTAATTTTAAATGCATTAAGAAATAAAACAATATAAACAAAAAAAAAACTTCAAACTTAATATAAAAGGATAGTAATGAAAAATCAACTAACCTATTATAATAAAGAGAAGGCCACCACCACATCCATAACCTTAGAATATCATTGAAATTCGTTTTGAAAATAAATGGCGAGACTTCTGGTTGACGCAAGGGGTGCTTCTTGCTTACCTTGATTTGAAGCGAGGGACATCATGCACGAAACACACTGGCACACCATAGTCTCATGCTTTGCATCTAAGCCATCACCTCGAGCACCAGAATCAGCCACCACAGAACCAACCCCTCACACATCACATTCGTGACTTGCGGACTTCGGTCACCAGAATCAACCATCAAAAACTTAAAAAAAAAAAAAAAAAAAGTTTATGTCGGCAAGTGCGGACAATTGCGCATGACTAGGTCCGCCAATGGCTATGATTATATATTATATGATAATAACAGCAGTATATAACCTACATTGTTCTGATTGAACCAGTCAAACATCATCTGCGCAATTTATACGTTTTTATAGGAGTTAGTTTCTGTAAATAGGGAGTTCTAATTTACATGAGTTTTAATTACATGAATATCCTATCTCAGTCGAGAACACAAAGACATCCACTGATCTAAGGAGAACATCTCAAACTCTTGCTGAATTTTATAGTTTCTACAACCAAGAACAATTTTTATTTTTAGTGCTGAATTTGGTGACTGTTGCCTTCCTGATCTTGGTGTTCCCTTACACATTGTCCCTGGCTCAGGTTCCTTTATTTATTTATTTTCATTTTTTTTTTTTTTGACTGAGTTGCATGTGTGCATCTTGTGACCGTTAAAGATGTCATAAACCGCAAGTTTATATTTATGCAGACACTAATGATGCTGTTAATTCATGCATGTGATCTTCTAATAAAATCTTCTGTTTATGTAGACGCTAATGTAGCTAAAATTGTTATTGCCTTTGCTTACCAATTAAGGAGAGAAGCACGTCAATGAGATTCTCTCAAACTTTGTGGCATATATTATTATCAACAAACAAAAAGATGCCACGTTTCAATAATTGTTCAAACCAAAAACTGATTGGCTGTTTGCATCTTACTCAGTTGGAGTATTAATATAACTTGAACTGCACACCAACACAGAAGAGAGGATGGCAGACTTGGAAAACATGCTTCTTGAGGCAGCTGGAAGAACAAGTTCTCCAGTGAGAAAGAGGCACAAGCTTCGGAACTCAAAAATGAAACGTGAGGGTGCTGCATTTTCTGATGGGGGAAGTAATTCCAGAGGAGAAAACTCTGATGAGGTTTCTGGTGGTGCAAGCAAGAGGCCAACAAGATGTGCATCCAATGTTCCATTGAAGAAGAGGTTGGACCTCAGCAAAAGAGTTGGTATTAGTAATGAGCATGGAAGCCAGGGAGGAGGAGGAGGAGGAGGAGGTGAATTGGAAGATGGAGGTCGTGTTAGGGAAGGTGGAAGCAGTGAGGAATCTGATGTTGGCAGTGATCTTTACAAGAATGAAGATGACAAGGAGAGGCTTGCAAAGATGACTGAACTTGAAAGAGAGATGATTTTATCTGATAGAGCAGCAAAGAAAGGTGAAAAGGAATTCAAAGAGCAATTGAGAATGAAGAGGGACAACAACAATGCAATTTCAAAGACTAGTCAATCACCTCTTCCTTCATCTGCCAAGGTTCGTACATCAGCAAGACATGCTGAGAGGACAGCTGCTAAAGGAGATGTTCTAAGTGAATTGCGTGCAAAAAGGATGAAGCAGCAGATCCCAGACAGTCATGGTAAGTTGGGAAATGCATCAGGAACAGGCTCAAGTAGCAAGGGATTGAAGCAAAAATCTGGAGCAACAGCAAGTCCAAGTAGCTCTAGTCAGAGTGAGAGTCATATGAGGTCTGACAGTGAAAGAGAATCCTCTGAGGGATTGGCTGACAGTGATGATGATAAGAACATGCATGAATCAGAGATGCCAACATTTCAGGATATAAAGGAAATTACCATTAGGAGGTCAAAGCTAGTGAAATGGTTGAATGAACCATTTTTTGAGGAGTTAATTGTTGGTTGTTTTGTAAGAATTGGCATAGGAAGGTCAGACAGTGGACCTGTCTACAGGCTCTGCATGGTCCAAAGAGTTGATGGAAGTGACCCTGATAGACATTACAAGGTAGAGAATAGAGTCACTTATAAGTATCTGGTTTGTGTATGGGGAAGTGAAAACTCTGCTGCCAGGTTTCAAGTGGCTGTAGTTTCAGATTCTGCACCACTGGAGAAAGAGTTCAAACAGTGGGTTAGAGAAGTTGAGAGAACTTGCAGCCAGATGCCTAGTAAGCTGAATGTGTTGGAAAAGAAGGAGGCAATAAGAAGAACCAACACATATATTTACTCAGCAGCCACTGTGAAGCAGATGCTAGAGGAGAAAAAATCTGCAACATCTAGGCCACTGAACATTGCAGTAGAGAAAGATCGTTTAAAGAGACAGTTGGAAATAGCAAAAAGTAAGAATGATGAGGCAGAGATGGATAGGATATACACAAAGCTGACAGAATTGGAAGCATCCCGTCAAGCTCAGGAGAATGATGCCAAGGCTATAAGGCTTGCTGAGATGAACAGAAAGAACAGGTTTGAGAACTTCAAAAACTTATCTGAGCATAAACAGTTGAAAGCAAAAGCTGGAGAGGAGGGGTATGATCCCTTTTCAAGGAGGTGGACAAGGTCGAGGAATTACTACAATAAAGATAGTAAAGAAGCTCAGGAGAATGAAGAAGATAAAGGAGAAAAGGATGTAACTGCGGGTGAAGTTAGTAGAAGGGAAGGACAAGAACCTGTCACTATAAAGGTAGGGGTTAAAGCAACAGAAGCTGCATTGCAAGCTGCTGCTGTTGCTGGGAAGTTGATTGATACCTTTGCTCCCGTGGATCGTGGAACAGAATCAAATATGCTGCATGATTTTGAATTGCCAATTTCACTTGCTGAACTCAAGAATTTTGGAGGAACACAAGGACTTAAAAATGGGTTTCTGGCAAGGAAACAAAAAATAGAAGCAACAGTTGGGTGCCGGGTTCCTGAGAATGACGGGAGTAGGCATGCCCTTACATTAACTATCAGTGACTACAAGAGAAGAAGAGGGCTTCTGTGAAGTTTGAAAATTCAGCCAAATATGTCTTCTATACATATTTTTAACACAGCATCCACTATCCATATCACTTTCCTAAGTTAAGGTATTAAGGTAATATCTTCAGCTGAATAACGCAGAGAATAAGTGGTGATTCATTTTATTAATTTCATTAACATAACTTGCTTTCTTGAAAGAGAAGGAAGATACCTTTCCTTTGGTTACTCGGCATGTTTCCAAAATTTTCATCCTTTACCTCTTCTATTCTATGCTTGTTTATCTGTGTTTTGGTGGTTGGGATATACATTATTTCTTCAAAACATAATTAGCTGCTAAAAGGTTTGATGGTATGATATATTTATTTTGAAAGATCGATTTCAGCTGTTGGCTGTAAGAATTAACAAGAAGCAAAGATCTCAACATCTACAAAGAAGGATGGGGTAAAATAATTTAGGTGGGCCTGCAAAGAAACTCATAAAAAAATGCTCCAGAGGAGAATTCTATAATGAGAAAAATCATTATGTACATATTTGCAAATTTACAAACTAATGAGTAAGAATCCCCCTTTCCCCTAAAAAAGAAAGCCTTATTTGTCATAGGCACAGAAATGTGGAAGATACTGTTTTTCCATTGTAATTTTTACTGTATCCTATCAAACTCATACAATACCCTAAACTTTTGAATGTACAGTAGAAGCCTCATCAGACGAGAACATGAGACTTTGCGGCATCACGGGAGCATTTTGCCCTGCCACTCTTACTAAGGACACAAACACATGTCTCAAGAATCTCAAAATCCTCATCCCAGCACAACAAGGATGCTTTTTCAGGATTCTTCAAAAGGATCTTAGAAGCAAGGAACCCAGCTAATGTCCATGTTTGATAACGCCTAGCTTGTTTTCCAATAAATCTTCCCGTTCGGGTGTCATAATATTCAGGCCAAGAATCAACTGGTAGCCTTTTCTCAGCCAAAGCAACTGCTTTCTGAGCTAGTTCATTTCTTCCCATTTTGATGCATGCCAACGTGAACTAAAGATCATGCATGAGCAAACACATCAGATATTAAAGCAAAGTTTAGCTGTGAAGATGAGTCTTTCACAATAAGATCAACAATATTTCCATCAGGATAAATTTACCTGCCACAGAAGGGTTGGCCAAGATCCACCATTGTGATATGACCAAGGGCTGCACAATTTAAGCGTGGAGTCTCAGTTATGATGTACACCATAGAAGCAAAATTATGAATACAAATCTAAATAAATAAATAAAAAAGAACTCAGAGACATGCAAACAACCGAAAGAAAAACCACAGAAAGAATTTTTACGTATTCTTTGGGTCGCTGCCAGTAATTATGCGCCATTCATCATTCTCCAAGGCAGGATAACATATCTTAAGAGGCATGTTCCCCACGAGATCATCCCATTTTGCTTCTATCAGATTCAAAATAGCCTTATTCTGTCTTGGGGTACCCAAAGACGAAACAACAGACCAAAGATTTCCAAGCATGAAAAACCTGAAATCCATGTGAGCTGGCTGAAGATTCCCCATCAGAAATCCACCTTCCTCTGGAATCCAATCCATTAGCCACATTGGAATTTGTTCTGGATAGATGTTGAACTTATTTGTGGCTTCCAAGGAGTACTCTTCTGTTTTATACCTGTATATCTCATTCATCTTTTTCATATCCAACCAATAATTTTCTCTAATGTGGAATGACAGTGCACTGAGTCTGTTATTAATTTCTCCAACCAGATTCTTGGATCCATCATCTACTACAACCATCTCACGGGCAGAGCGAAGAGCTGAGTAAAATAACGCCTGCAAAGTAAAACATACCGCGTATAAGGTCAACCAAAAGGTTAGATTTTAAGTGAAGCAATAGAGGTTAGAATTCTGAATCCAGAGTTTCGTTTCATATCAGAGTTTAAAACAAGTTCACAAGAATAGCATAATTTCCAAATCCATATATCACCTAATACAAAACACAAGGATGCAAACATAGCTTAGTTATATTAGACTCACTTGAATCTCAAGGGGGTGACCATGAATACCCATCCTCCTGTCTATCATGCAAGATCCATCAGTTACTAACAGAGAAGGAAACATATCGAAGCCATCCGTTAAACACAGGTTAAGGATCATTCGTAAGCCTGTTTGAAAATCCAACCTTTCTTGTAAGGTGTAGTCACCAGTGAGCTTCCCATAAGCCCGCAGCAGGATGATCCACCACAATCCTATCACGGAAAACATAGAAACAACTCATTTTGTAACGTTACTCAAATTATAACAACATTCTGGGAATGACTAATGTTTACAGCGCACAAGCAATCTTCAAATATACTATTATTTTACATGCACATTATAAAGAACAGCAGAATACTAACCTGAATCTACAGGAGCAACACGACCAATAGCTGATTCCCCAAAATCAGGATCTAGAACTTCTTCTTTCTTTTCTTCATTAATTTGCGTAGTTTTAACTTTGAAACTAGCAGGCATTAAACCCTGCCCTGGGCTATAGCAGTCCACTGTTTTCTCCCAACTCTGTTGCAATTGAATAGGGAGATGGATGAAAAATATTAAGCATCAATAAAGAGAAAAGTGACACATTATCCTCATATACATGGCATGATGACAAACAAGTGATAGTATAATAGTCAAACGGTCACATTTAATTATGGTTTAACACGAGTCAAGAGATTTTATGATATAAATCCATGACGATTAAGAAGCAAAAAAACAACTTCTTACAATGCACCCCCCAAAATAAAAAATAAAAAAAGACCCTAAAGAGTAGTAAATTACCTGGAGTTGCAAGGTGTGAAGGAGAAAGTTCTTAACAATCTCTTTTTCTCCCCTGAGCAAGAAAGCAAGAGCCGAAGGGATAAAATCACGAATAAAAACCTGATCATAATTCAAGGGTTGCTCGTCACCTGAATCATTTGCTGCAACAGTTCCCACAGGGGTGTCACAATATGTCACAAGCGCATCCTGCAATAACTTCCATGCCTCCTTTTCCACCTCTGTCTCTTCACCATTGTTCAAGGGCTCAGATACATTCTTCGAACCACATGAATTCTCTGTGTTCACATCTTTCTCACCAACTTCTAACCGGGACTCTTCCTCTTCTCCAACATTCTTCTCATCGTTATCAATTCTTTCCACCACGAATGGCTTCACATGCACGCCACCCTTCACGTATACCTTCTCACCATTGTTCTCATTGACACGTGTCTCAATGGAGCCTGAGAAGTCTCGAGCCTTGAAGTCGAAGGCAACTCCAGGAACGGCAGAGACATCACCCGTTGTTCTTGTTCCTCTTAAACGAAGGGACCTTGAATGGACGAAACTCGAAGAGGAAGGTAAACCAAAAACTTTCTGGGTACCATTCATTATGCGTCCAAACTCTAACATGCGAAAAGGGAAATGCATGCTGTTGTGACCAAAAGGGTTAGAGATAGACATAGGCATCGTAAGAGTATGGTGACGTCTTGCAAGAAACGATGAATTTTTGCAACTAATGAGAATCCTAGAGGATGGTTTCATGGTGCAAATGCTAATAAGGCTGATAGCGATCATAGCAAAAGAACATCAATGACATAAACGAAATATGTGCAAGTGGTTGATATAGATTTTGAAAGTTCTATCAATGTAATGGTAATGAGAATCTGAGAGGTTCAAGAAAGGGTGTCTCAATTTTTATTTTTTTTTGGGTACAGGGTGTCTCAAAAAACAAGAATGGCCAAAAGTCAAGTGGGTAGAATAGAAAGTCAATGGCCTTTTATTATGTATGATGTATATGTATAGGAACAGAAACTGCTACCTTTGGAACCAAGATTCTGATTTTTCACCACAGAAACCCCCTGGTCAGATTGCTTTTTTTTTACCCCTTTTGGCCAACAATTTATTTTAGATTTCTAAGGTAAATTATCCATGTGTGGATATGTTAATTGCCAACAAAAAATTAGGTTACTCTCTATTTGTAACCTGAACGATGAAGTTTGTAGTTTGCAGTACTTTGTAACTTTATTCCGTAATCACAGAAAAGTTTTGCATTTTGCTATATTTGGGAATTTCAGTAATGTTCGGGTAAGCATTCAAACACCAAATAATTTTAACTTTATTTATTTATTTATTTTAACTTAATTCCTTTAAAACTTATTTTAATTAGATACTTTTAGTTGGAAATGAAGATACTATAATTTTAAATTATTTTTTAACTTTAAAAAAAGTTCGCCAATGAGACTCTTAAGTATTAATCCTTGAGCTTATTCTACTACTCATATAGTCATATTACTCATATATAAAACTGCTTCGTAAATGAACAAAAACGGTTACTACTTGAGATGAGATGAGCTATTTTTCAATTTTTTTGTGTCTTTGCTTGAGTTATCTGTGGGAAAAGTGAATGCCTTTTTAATTCCAGTAGATAACAGAAAATTTGAATAAATTTATTTAAAGAAAAATAATATTTTATGTGAAAAAAAATAATATACTATATGGTAAAAAATACATAATATTTTTTTTAATTGAAAATTTGTGTTATACACATCTTATTATTATTCATAAATTTGTACATCAATCCAATATTATTTTATATTCCATTTTAATGTCTTAAAATCACCGCAAAACATATTTTTCAAAATAAACAAAAATATTAATCATATGTTTTCAAACTTATTTATTATTTTATCAATTTCATATTAATTTGTATAATATTTACACAATAATTATTTATTATGTATTCAAGATTAAATTGATCAAACTTATTTTCTATAGTAAATTATCGAATTATACGTCTTTAAAATATAAATAATAAGAGGAGAGAGAGAGAGAGAGAGAATTTGACATAGAATAATAGGAGCTTACAGTGGTGTGTGGGGTTGGTGCTGTGGTGCTTGTGCCTGCCTCTATCTATTCTATCCATTTGGTGTGAATGTGAAAGTGTGAGTGATCTTTTGGAAATGGCTAACGCAATTGTAATAATGGGTTTTCTGCCCCGACCCATTGCCAATATGACGCCGTTTCAGTTTCCCAATCGCAGTTACTCCGCTCGCTGCTCCGTTTCTCCCACATCCCAATCGGTAATCAAATTTCACACTTTTAAGATTATTATGCTCTTTGTGTTTTTTTTCCTTCTTATCTTAATAGACGATGGCTTGTATTGTATTATATAGTGTGAGCATAATTCATTGCAGCTTCTCATAATGATATGGTGTGGAATTTGAATGTGCAACGCACACACAAAAATAAAAATATAAAACCTTGGGAATTCGGATATTTTTTTTAAGCTTTCTCCTACAAGGGTAAGCATTTGTTGCACTTTTCCGTGAGCACAGGATTGTATTACGTGACATTCAAACCGATTTGTGTTTAGTACCGCTTGCAATAGAAAGAGAAGCAAAGTTTCTTGAGTCTGATATTTTCTGCAAATGGAAGAGGGAGTAATGAGTATAACCCAGAAGTGGCATAAGATAAGTAACTGCGAGTAATAATTTTGTGTGCTTATATTGTTCCATAGAATTGCCATCAAGGGGTTTAATGGGAGTGGTCTATATGTTCCATAGAATCTTAGTCCACTCTGTATTAACCTTTTATTTTCTACTATTTTGACATGGGCCATCTGCAAATGGCCTTTGATTCTATCTCCGCTAATATATAATCAGACTAAAGCTTTTGCAGTTCCAAGGAGGAAAGCAATGTCCTTGATCTTATCAAGTTACATTCTCTCAGAGGTTGGTTTAGCATTGGCTCTGCAGTCTCCTGTGTTCCGCGAATATGTGGACACATTTGATGGTTATTCATTCAAGTACCCAGGGAATTGGATTCAAGTTCGAGGTGCTGGGGCTGACATATTCTTCAGGGACCCTTATGTTCTTGATGAAAATCTATCTGTTGAAGTTTCTTCACCTTCATCTTCCAAATACAAGAGTGTTGAAGACTTGGGTCCTCCCCAAGAAGCTGGAAAGAAAGTGCTCAAGCAGTATCTGACTGAGTTTATGTCTACAAGACTTGGCGTTCGACGTGAATCAAATATTCTTTCCACATCTTCAAGAGTTGCTGATGATGGCAAGTTATACTATCAAGTTGAGGTTGGTTAACAATCACATTCGAAACATCTTTAGCATTGATGAGTCTAACATGTATTGTCAGATGGAACTATTTGGTTAGATTAGCATAAATTGATACAATGGAAAGCGAATAACAGAAAATAAAAATGCTAACGAAATCATTCTCAAGCATCATCATCATCTTTCGTCGGAGTTCCTTTGTTCAGGAACAGTTGTACCTTCTCATTCCTTGTTGCGAAATTACATCAATTGATTAATGGAATGTGTTTTCTATGTTGCTAGGTAAACATAAAGTCATATGCTAGTAACAATGAGCTTGCTGTTATGCCACAAGACCGGGTGGTGCGTCTGGAATGGGATAGGAGGTACCTATCTGTTCTGGGGGTTGAAAACAACCAACTGTATGAGTTGAGATTGCAGGCGCCAGAAAATGTGTTTGCAGAGGAGGAAAATGATCTTCGTCGAGTCATGGATTCGTTTCGTGTGGACAAGATTGCCGGTTAGAACTAGAACGTTGGATATATGAAGATGTTCTGTGGTCTTGTAATTTAATCTTTTTTTCTTTATTTCTTCTTTATTTTTATGACCTGTTTTGGATTAATTTCATTTTTGTCCCTTTTTTAAATTAAAATTTTGGCCTTCTGATTTTAATTGTAAAATTGTTGTCTTGTTTTTCGTATTTATGCAAGTCTGCTGGTTGAATTAATGTTTGACATGACACTGAACAGTTCTTATGAGCTATTGTGACACGTTTTATATCATAGAAGTCGAGCCAAATCTAAAATAAGAATTGTTACACCAGTATTATACTGGAAGACACTTAATTATTACATCACTATAAAATCTATGAATAGTATAAATTGAAGGGGATTCAACAATTCTTCTCCACAAACAAATCTTACGTGGAACTTATTTTAATTTTTTTTCTTTTTCCTATTATCTCTCCTCTTTTTTCTTTTTGAGTGTAGGAAAATTGCTCTTATCTTACACAAAATAAGAAAAATAAATCCCTAAATTGAAACTAGAAAAACCAAAATATACTTAAGTAAAAGAAAAATAAATATATAACTACTGGCATATACCTTAAAGTTTAATTGACATCAGCCTGATTTATAAGATTGAGATATGATGATAATGTTAGAAGTTTAATTTTTCATTAGATTATCTATTTTTTCCCTTAATCGAGTGAGATTATATTTAGTGTTCTTGGAGCATTTTGGATTCTGGGAGAAAAGAGAGAGATGGAAGAGATTGAGAAGAGAAGAAAGAAGAAAAAAGAATATTTCTTCATATGTCATTCATTTAATGAAAGGACCACAATAGTCTTGGATTATATTAAAAAATTCCTAATCAAGTGTACCAAATATTGACATTGTGTGTTTAATCATTATTCATCTGATTTTTACCACCAGAAACAATTGAATGTTCTTTGTAATATAAATTCCATTTTGTGACAGATACTCAACTGATAGTGTTTAATAAGTAAAGAGAAATAATTTTTTTATGTTGTAAGAAAATAGTTATCTTATGTTGTAGAATTAAGATTGCAAGTGGAACCCACAGATAAGAGGAGAGAGAAAAAGAAGAAGTGGAACTCATCCATCTTTTGTGTGTGTAGAAAATTTAATTATCTCATGTAATGGATAAGTAAAAAAAGAAGTGAAATCCATAAGTAAAATTCAGACTGCATTCAAAGTTGATTGTTGGATAAAATAAAGTACATAAGATCCTTCATCCATCTAAAAATCATTAAACACAATTCATTCTCACTAATGCCAATCTTTAAAAGAAAAAAAAATTAAACACAAGTGGCATGATTCATAAAACCACGATAATTCAGATAACCGGGATATGATTCACTACTAAAAATGCTTTGAAACCTAATACCGAAAAAAATATAATACTTTGAAACCAGAAGAAAACACTACCTAGTTACTTTACAAACGAAACCAGCCATGTACATGCAACAAAATTTCATGTCCAGAGTCATGACAAGTCTCAGACTTGATGTTAAATACAAAATTATGACCTGACTTCAAATTCACCTGCCCGAGTAAGAGCTCGAAAACCTTTGTAGAAACGGTAGGGTACGGTCTTCAGATCCAGTTTATCTATTAGCAGACCAGAGAGGGCGACTCCCATAATCCTAAAACCCACTTGAAATGTGGGAAAGACATGAAGGCGCTCCAATCCAGTCTCAAGCACCAATGTCCCAGACATTGAAGGGGCTTTATCCTTTGGGATCCGACCAATGGACCAAGTGCATGTCTGATAGAACAAGATGCAATGAAAGCTTCAAATTACATTGCAAAAATAGTTCATATCTGACCATTTTAACTCCTGGTTTCTAAAATAGATAAAAAAAATAAGCAGATATAGTGCGGCTTATTAGGTACCTTGTTAGAAAGGATGTTTACTGTTCCATGATTTGAATTCAGATCAGCTGATAAGATGCAAGAAGGAAGCTGAAACTGAACAGTAACTGAATCAACTGTCTTTCCAGGATCATTTCTTATGCCAACCAATATACTAACACGGCATGTCCCACCATCTGAAGTCAACTGTGGCTTTACATATATTGGGGTGTTCTTCAATTTTCTAACTCTGAAAAAGTGAAATGCCAGAATTTTTTAGAGAAAGAAAATTGGGAATACCGTGGAATGAAATTCAACATCACAGTTATATATTTTTATCCAAACTGACTTCTCGAATGAAGGTTTCAAATCCTAATTTAGACATCAACAATACATAAAGCTGGACCCCATACCTGTAACTCATAAGTTTAAATTGTCCATCAGGAGGCACAAATGAAAGAATTTGATGGGATTCCCAAGGCCGAAATCTAACACAGGGATGGAACCTCACGTCATCTAGGATTGAAGGATTTGCAAATAAAAGAGTCAAATCAGGAAGGCCTGTGATATGGGAATTTACTTGAACCTCACCATAGATCTCACATTTCACCAGAACTCCGTCCCTGCATCAACAGAATTTTTCAGTAGTGAGCAAAAAATAACTACTAAGGAGGAGTCTCCAGATGATCTTCAATAAAGTCCAGCCATATCAAGTTCCACAAGTTCAAACTTTCAAGAATCAGTGATATCCTGTTCATTAAGCTTGCAAAAGGCTTAGGAGGGAAAATGGAAAAAGAAATTCAACTCTTTTCTTAGTTCAAAATACAGTTGTATTAATTAACAAAAAGAAAAAGGTATTAAATATAAAATCCATGTCAATTTGAGTTGTCCACTACCCTTTGATTGTTATATCTCGGCCGGAAATCTAACCATTTATTAAACGCAAAATGGCCCATGTACAAATGATTTCATCTAGCTACAGCTTTGCCTAAGATGCTTAATTGGAAACGTAGAGTGTGTATTATAAACTTCAAGCTTCACAGAGCTACATCCCCAATTGATTAATCATTGAACTATTTCAAGGAATATTCTGTTTGCAAGTTAAGGAGTGAAACAAGTACCTTTAATCCAGTAAAAGAAGATTGAATTAGTGCCAATCCAGATTAGGGATGAAAATGAAGCGCACACTACTAAGTTATACAGTAACCTATGTACAAACTACAAACAGCTTTTCAATCTTAATGAATTATAGTAATCCTTTCTTCATCCGGAAAAGGCAAACAAGTGTAACACATAATTTCTTTCTTTTGCGTGTAGTCTTAGATTCAAATTTTTTATATTCTAACTTTCCAAGCTTGCCAAAATAAGTAATCAATAAGACCATAATTAAAAAAATAAATAAATGAATTGCCCTAGTAAAGAAGTGAAAGACGAGAATGAGCATAAAGACCTGTTTATTGTCGCATCCATTTCTTCAACAAGATCTACATAAACTTCATTGCTGGCATACTTTGGATCTGCTGTTCTCCAGGGAACAATAGATGCTGTAGCACCTGGAAGCGTGTCACTCACATTGGAGCTGCTGCCAGTCACAACGCTCAAGACTTTGCTAACAATATTTGGTGGAGCTATCATCTCTTGCAGGATATTAGGTTCTGTGGTTAGAGGGAAGCCATTGTCTATCATCTCATCCAGCAGCTACAATAACAAACAAACTGATTATTTTTGCATCTAAACAACAAATCAATGGGGGAAAAAATAACAAAGCCTAATAACATCTCATTTCATGATAAAAGTCTACCACTATCCCTTGGAAGTTATGATTGCAGATGGGAAAGTAGTTCAGAGAAATACCTCATACACGATGATAAAGTTGTCCTTTATCAAGTCTTCATTCAATCCCCCAAGATAATCATTGAGGACATCGGCTACCCTAGAAAGGAACTAAAAATCAGATGGTTAAAAGAACTAACACAGTAGCGTTGGTGTGCCATCACAATATGAGTTGCAAATCGCATGTATAACTGGAAATATACCTCAATGGCCATCAATGGTGGCATTTCAACTTGAGAGCAGGCCAAAAAAGTGATTCCCTCACGAAAAACTTGGAATAGATAATGTGTAGGAGAAGCAATCACTGGTTGTTGCTATACACATAGAAGAGAACAAACTAAAATAAGCCCTATAAGCAGGAGCTAAGCTAGACAAAAATGAATTCAAGATTTGAAGACAAATGTGAAAAATATTAAGGTTAGAGAAGAATATGATGGAAGAGAATACCTTGATGGAATCAGGTTGAGAAATGGCGTGGTCCCAGAACCAGGCACAAATGGAGCGATCTACGCGGTGCCCAGTGAGCTGTTTCTCTAGCATTACCTCTCTAGGGAATCAAAATTTCAGAGTTCAAGATCGATAACCATTCATTAAATTCAAATGAAAATTCGAAATCGGAAATTGAATCGTGAGTTGATGGCTCCAGCAAGTTAAGTAAATTGGCATGATTTTCGTTTCAACAATCAAAGATAAGAGTATGCGTGAATCTTACCCGGAATCGGACAGAAGAAATATGCACTGCAACATTTCTCTCTCTCTCTCTCTCTAAATCGAAGCTCAGAAACAAGGGAGATGAAAAACCCAGGCAGATTATAATAATAAGAATAATTGAATAGAATTGGGCATGTTTGTCACGAAGGAGTGTCCATCATTTCACAACGGTAGATACAATACAAGGTACGCTAGTTTCTACACTTTGTGTTTCTTTGAGACATCAAGGACCAAACATAACCATTTCATTACTAAAATTAAGGAAAAAATATTTGTATTTTTAAAGTATATAATTTTGTGTAATTTTAGATTTTAATAATTAATTTTCGTCAATCAATGATTATAATTTATTATGAATTATTAATTAATTAATAATTGTTAATTGATGAAGATCAACGTTTAGAATCTAAAATGACACAAAATTATATCCTTTAAAAGGACAAATATTTTTTGCATTATATATTTATTTGTTTTTGAAAAGGGTTTAGCAAGTTCTCTGGCTTTTTGACCATTTTGTCTCTCATTAATTAATTAATAATTATTTTGCCCCTTATTGAAAACTATCTACCAATCTGCTCCTCTTTATACGATTAAGTTGAAGAGTTAATCGATTAAATGGTCAAAACTGACAAAAATCATTGACTTGAAGATTTAATCGATTAAATTTTCAATTTAATCGATTAAATCTTCAAAAAAACAAATCTCCCAAATCAGTGTTTTCAGACACCCTTGGTTCCTCTGATTCAGATACACCAACAGAAAATTTGTCCCCGGTCTCATCCATCAGTAGTGTCCATACTAGTAGCTTTCCACTTGCTGAGCCCAAAACATCATTTGAGGAAGATAGATCTCCACCACCAGATGCTCTATATTCTGGTTCAACTCATGATGAGCAACCATTCGTAGTACATCTTAAATCCTAATGATGATTAAATCTTCAACAGAGTTGTTCCAAACAATTTGAGAGTACGACCAGATGATTCTTCCGCTGCATCGTCTTTGGTAGAAACACCTTTGTGGAAAAGTTCGAGTTTCTAGACATTTAGGTAACAAAAATTAGAATACAAAATCATATATCATTTTCTTAAAACTATTTTTATGATGATATTGTAATCAAGAAAATGAAATGGATTAGGATTTAAGATGTACTACGAATGGTTACTCATCATGAGTTGAACAAGAATATAGAGCATCTGGTGGCGAAGATCCATCTTCCTCAAATGATGTTTTGGGCTCAGCAAGTGGAAAGCTACTGGTATGGACACAACTAATGGATGAGACCGGGGACAAACTTTCTGTTGGTGTATCTGAATCAGAGGAACCAAAGGTGTCTGAAAACACTAATTTGGGAGATTTGTTTTTTGAAGATTTAATCGATTATATTTGAAGATTTAATCGATTAAATCTTCAAGTCAATGATTTTTGTCAGTTTTGACCATTTAATCGATTAAATATTCAAATTAATCGATAAAGAAGGGTAGATTGGTAGATAATTTTTAATAAGGAGCAAAATGATTATTAATTAATTAATAAGGGGCAAAAGGGTCAAAAAGCCCAAGTTATCTTGTCTAACTCAAAGGGAAGTCATTCTGAAATTTGAAATAATAATAAAAATAAGTATTTTAGAAAAATTAATATTATAAATATTATAAGAGAGAAATAATTTTTTTATTTTTATATTTTTTTTCTCAAATATCAAAATAACGTAAAGTTACTGGAGATAATTTTATCTTTTATTATTCTATTATTTTTCAAAAGATAATTAGATAGATAAAATGTAATAAAATGAGAAATTTATATAGTTTAAAAGGAAATTGATCCTCTCAAATATGATTTCACATTATTAGATTATGTGAAGGGTTCTTAATCGTTGATGGACAAATTTTAAGCTTTTTTTTCACGTCTTGTATTTTAATATTTTTTTCTTTCATCTCTTATCACCGTTGATTTATTTATCAAGAATTAAAAACCTTTCAAATGACTTGATTATATGAAGGATTTAAAATTTTTAAAGTTATGCTCACCAAAATACATGTAAAAAAATGTGTAGGATCCATGTGAACTCATATAAAAAGAAGGGAGAGAAAAAAAAGAAACTTTTGAACTTTCCAACACAAAAAAAAAAAAGAAAAAAAAAAGGCCCACGAGAGTTAAAAATTAAAAAGAAATATTTTTTTTTTGGTATCCTGACTGAGACAAACTCCCACACAGGCTAAATAGAAGAAATAAATATTACAAAAAATAAATAAATAGAAGAAATAAAATGTGGCCTATTAACACTACCTAAATCAGCTAAATACTGTTATCAAAAAAAAAAAAAATCAGCTAAATACAGCAAATAAATACCATAAGGGGGAACGAAAAGTCACTTAAGTCTTCTTCATCTTGATTAACTAGGGGGAAATTTGATAACCAATCTGCACAGAAATTTTCTTCTCTATAAATGTGATTGATCTTCACAATCCAATCTCTATTCATCCAAGTCCGTATACAAGTCACAATATGAGACTCACAGGCTGGCTCACTACCAGTGGTGAGCCATGTGACCGTAGTCTTTCAGTCCCTTTTAATAATCACTCTACTCCATCCTCCTTCCCAAGCCATCTAGATGCTCTTTAATATCTCCCATAGCTCAGCCACAATAGCATTACAATAAACAACACGACAAGAAAATCCCTTTAACCATTGATCAGAGCAATCTCTGATCAGCCCTCCACATGCTGCGAGACCTGGGTTCTCTTTAGCAGCACCATCCGTATTAATTTTCATCCAGTCAACCTCCGGAAATTGCCAAGCAATTAAAGTCTCTTTATACCTAATGTTTGGGTTGGGTTGCGACTTGAAATGTGATTGATCTTCACAATCCAATCTCCGGAAATGTATTTACAACAGACCAAATTTCAACTGCCTGTTCTAAAATTCTAAGCACAATAGAAAAATATCATACATTTTTCTTCGGAAAAAAAGAAATCTCCTTTAATTATGAGTCATGTGCAGAATATTTATATGCTTTAAAATTCTCTAATTTGACTCTGCTTCCTAAATATACTATTCAGTGTGTATTAATTTTTTGTTGGACAGTTTTCCAGACATACACATACAAGAGAATTAATATGCACTAGTAAGCTTTTTAATATGCACAGGTGGGTCAATATGCTTTTTAACTTACACATTTTAGTTGATTCAATAAATTGTATCGGTGATGTTAAAAGAAAAAAAAAAAAAAATTGTATCGGTCAATTTCAAAATATATGCGGTTTTCTGCACACGAGCCATTATTTTGAAAAGGGTTGAATGGAGAAAAACAAACATAAGCAATGTTTATAACGTCCCCTAGACCTCAGGGCAGCAAGAGGAATCCCAGGATTGTCTTCTCTTCTGGTCAAACGATTCTATCACAAGCGTTTGATTTTGGTTTTGCATGGTCAATGGGTTAATTATTATGATACAACGCCATCATTCACATCGCCCCCAAATTTCCACGAATCAATATGAGATGAATAGAACAGTATGCATATGTGGAGTTGTTACAGAATAATAATGTAAATTCTTAAACCTCCAATGCAAATAAGAATAAGAAAGAAAAAACATGATTTACACTTGAAAACGAGTTTTACTATGTAATTTGGCAATCATAGTCTTACTAAAGCCGTTAAATCAAAAGGTACAAAATTTTGCGTTTGCTCTCTCGTAACTCTATGCCAGTTGCCAAGTTCAATAGGAAGTCAGAAATCAACCGGACGCTGGCTAAAAGAATCGTCATGTACAAATCGCCACCACGTCATTACTTTCAATCATTCACAGTCCTGATTTCATTTACATGTTTGATAGTGAACAACTCAGACAACACTGAATGCTGACTGTAAGGTAGAAGAGAACCGCGAGGCAATTGTCCAAGTGGCAAATTGTTGAATCTGCTTCTTAGCATCTGAAATACAACTAAGCTGTGTTATCCATTGCAAGTTTTTCCATTGAATAACATGTAAAGCACTGCCAGATGAGACAGAACATTTATGTAGAACGCAAAGGAAACCTTCCTGATGGGGCAGGGAGGGAGACACAGACAGAGCTGACATAGAACTATCAGTCTCTAGATGTGAGGTGAAACTAGGCGCAGAGGAACTCCTAAGACATGTATGTTTCATGCATATCCACAGCATTTGAAATGAAATATGTATTCATGGGATGCAATTCAGAAAATATTGATGCAAATGCAACACATAAAATTAACAACAAAACCCAAAGTTCCCATTCCCACAAAAACAAAAAAATGTGAAGAATTATTACAAGTGTTATTCCATTTCACAAACCACTAGCACATAAATAAACCACTCCCCATAAACCATTTGCATAGTCATGCCATAATAATTTTTCCTAGTTAGTTATAGTGGCATCCACATGACCACATTACCTTTGAATTACATATCATGATCCAACCATTTATGACTGAGTGATTAAATAAAGTCATGTTGAGGCCTAATAGCGCCCAGCGCACTACCCAGAAACTGAAAAGAAAAATTATAAAATTTCCATTTCACATTTCAGCAATGAACTCTGACACGAGTTACTTAGTATCCCCATAAGAGAAACAGGTGTTATTTGATAAGTTGCCATGACTTCAACTCTTCAAGATGACATATTACTTGTATGCTAATAATATAATGAATTAATTTATGTTGGGACAATGATGACAGACTACAGTGAGCAAGTCTTCACTTGTAATTAAAATTTTCAGTATCTCATTATTTCCAGCAATTGGCCCCACCTTAAACCAATATCCTTTACAACATTAGAAGATACACAAGTCAGAACTTAGAAGAACACCACAAAACTAGCATACCTTTTTGGCATTTGGTAAAACCAACAATATTTGCAATACTGAGGGTCAAACAAATTCCTACAACAAGGAGGTAATCAGCTTGAAGCCTTATGAGCGAGAATATTGTCAGCAGAATCCATGCAATTGCCTAGAGAAGAATACACACACACAATTTAGCAGAGAACATAATTATGCTTTTTTTTTTATGGGGTTGGGGGGAGCTACTCATACACCTAAACTGTAAGCAGATGCAAAACACAACATGCTAATTGCTAATTCACAAAGAACTATTTGCTATCCAGATCCAAAATTTAATCTATGTTGAACACTAATCCCTATTTAGTATTTACATCAAAGCAACACATAAACCAACTAAATAAGCCTGATCTGGACAGAATATTCAATGTACTATCCCCCGTATTCAAATTACCACATATTACCAAAGGACAAGAAAAAACTGGAATGTCATCACATGCTTTAACCAATCATTTTCTTACTGTAAGGTAGAGCGTCCACCAGAAAAGCCATGAATCTTTCTTGTTCAACCGGGCCAATGACTGGAGGAAAAACAAACAACATATGTAAGATGCAAGTATCTTTATAGCATTTGGAGTGCAATCTTATGCAACTCAGCATACACGATAGAGATATTATTTCAAAAATAAGATCACAAGAAGCAAGTTGAAATTGATCAAAACATGCAACTCCAACCTCTTGATCAAGACATTCAAATTTCCAAACACTCTCATCCAGATCATTTATTTCATTCCACCACCTCAAACCAACTAAAATTCTCCCACTCACATTCTTGACTACCCAAAAGTCAAGAGCAGCAAGAAGGACAGTCACCACAAAAATGATGACAAAGTTATCAATAAAGAGGGCGGAGAGAACGTAAAATGCCAAAGCTGCAGCCTGCCAGACACAGAAATATTACTTTTAACAAGGAAAAAGATATGGCGTACATAGAATTAGAAAGATATCCGAACAGTGCAATGAAATAAACTGAACCTTGAAGAGAACATGAAAGAAGCAAGTGTTTGGATTGGCGTAGTTTTCACCTACAGGCTGCACATAGAGTAGAATTTGATGAATTAATTATCTAAAACAAAATTAAAGGCCTGATATAGAACTTGAATTTTATTCGGAGACAAAAATATGTGGAAAAAAAATAATATAAGAAATCCGTTTTCTTAGCTGTTCCATCACATTTTCAGTGAACAAAAATCTAAATCATATGTTAATTTAGGTGCAGCTATGCGCATACTAGATGGAATTCACAGAAACATGTCTGTCTCCCACATAATTTCATTAGGCTCGGGTTCGCTTTAATTTTATTTTTTCTTCAACATCAATGAAAAAATAAAATTAATCTCATAAATAAGAAATTGAAACAAGGAAACCAGATCTAATAATTATCCAAATGACGGATGAAAAATAGTTGCAGGCACGTATGTACATTTATCACAATGGAAGAATAGAATGCAGAGAACCTACAAAACTGATAGATAGTTCACATACCTGGCCGAGACCCATATAGCTGTGACTGTGAGATCTTGGGAAATACTGTTAGCATAATAGCAACAAACTAGTTACTATACAGAAAGAGAGGGAAGGGAGCCATAACGAACACATCTTGCATCTTGCATCTTTCTCTTCTTCCCTGACAGTTGGGGCTACGGCTATCAAATTATTGGGCTATGAATGCCTAGCCCGATTTTTATTCATTTTGGGGTAATTATAATCAGGCCTGGCCCATTTTGACAGTCGAAGCTCCATAACTGTTTCTTTTGTTTTTCACTTCTCAACTCCTGAAGCCTAATACGTGATGCTATTGCTCTAATTTGTGATGATTGGTCCATTGTATTGTGTTTGTGTGACTTGTTCGTTATTTTAGTTTGCGTGTTATGCATAACAAGGGATAATACACTGGTTGAGTTAGAGGATAATTTTTTGTGTGTTATTAGTTGATTTACGATCAATGCATAGAATTAAAAAATTTGTAATATTTATAAAATAAAATAATAAAAATTTATTATAATATCATTTATGTTGAGAATTATTTTAAGTGTAATAAAATTAGGATAATGAAGGAATAAGGGTTAGTGATCTTTGTCTCCTTTTGTAATATGGACAAATTTTTTTAGTTTAATATAATGAGATTTAAGGATTTATGTTTTTTTTTAATTATTATTTTTCAATACTTATATTAATTTAACAATCAAACCAAATACATTTTTTTATTACAGGTTCTGGCTTATAGTTTCACAAATCAGATGTTAGTTTTGGCATCTGAAGCAGGAGTTTTTTTTTTGCAGCACAAGTCTATCTTAGGCACACACATATGAGGTGAGCAGTAGTATAAGATGGATTTTTTAAGATTAAAAAAATGAATGTTAAAAGGGGAGGGAAATGAGAGGCTATGAATGGAAATCAAGTGAGGTGGAGGTGGATAGTTGTCTTATCCCAACCAAAGAAGAGGTGGCAGTTAGTTGGGTGATGGAAACACTTCAAATTTTAGCCCCATACTTACTGAACTACACACCAAGACTGTGTGGACTCACTCCTCACAAAGAAGCATGGCAAGGCTGGTGGCACTCCAACAGAACCAGTTATCTTTCTCTCCCTTAGCTTCCTCTCTTTCTGATTTTAGTGGAACCAGACTTCAAACTCAAATTCAGGTCCTTCACTTCACTCTTTCTTCTATGTGGAATAACTGTCTTTCACTTATCAGGACTATGATTTCTTGGAGTAACTGTCTCTCACTTAATTTCTATTTCAATCCTATGTGGATGTCTGTAGAGTTAACCCCCTTAACATGTGTGGATTAAGGAGCAGGTCTTGAACAACATTGTATTCTGTATTACTAATACTAAATAATGTCACTTCAACAATTCTTGTATTTGTCCTGTTGAGTTGAATGAATTGTATACTTCCTACAAACTTGGGGTTAAGAAGTTCAAGAATTTATGTATCGCAGTGACAAATAAAGCAGGTATTCGTCCCTAACTCCCAACATGCTTATTTTGGTTACAGTTGAAAAGAAAATCATGGCAGCCAAAAGGATCTTTTTATGTATCAGCATCAAGCACCAAGAAAATCCTCATAATGGGAGGCACTAGGTTTATTGGTGTATTTTTGGCTAGGCTCCTTGTCAAAGAGGGTCACCAGGTATGACTTAATTCATTCTGAGTTAACTGGACATTTTGGAAGCCTTAAATAAAAAAAAACCTTATGAATTTTGGCAGGTGACTTTATTCACAAGAGGAAAAGCACCCGTCACTCAACAATTGCCAGCTGAATCAGACAGTGATTATGCTGATTTTTCTTCCAAGGTATTGTAATTCTAAATGTAAACATTGGACTAACCTGCCAGTAAGGCATGATGAGATACTTTTCATCCTTGTTACTCTCATCCCTGGAGCTTTTATTCTTTGTAATATTTTTTGTTTCCCAGATATTGCATTTGAAAGGAGACAGGATGGACTTTGAATTCGTAAAGTCCAGTCTCTCAGCACAAGGGTTTGATGTTGTTTATGACATAAATGGTGTGCAGATTCCTACTAGTTCACACCTTCTGTGCTTATTGTTTTCCTTACTTAATACCATTTCATAATATATCTTTCGCTTCTGGTTCAAATCATGATTTTTCATGATATCTCTCTCTTCAGAATCAAATCATGATTTTGGCATATGTTTCAGGACGAGAGGCAAATGAAGTTGAGCCCATACTGGATGCTCTGCCTAACCTGGAACAGTAAGCTTTAGTAGTATTTGATGTATTCTAGAAGTTTAATCAGACTATAAATGCAAATTGTCATTGATCTATTCATCAATGAGTTATCTAGTTAATTATATTTAAGAATGAGTTTGATGACACTTCAAAAAAACAAAAAATTTCACACAATTGTCATATTCATTATACTTAACATTCAATGTAGAAAATCAATTGGGACAGGGATAATACATAAAGTTCTCCAATTCTTGCCTCATCAAGATTATGTTTGAAATCTAGATAAAACTATCAACTCTTCTGTCATGCCCTTCATTTCCTTTGACATATAGAAATTGGAACTTGCTACTAATTAGATGGCTCAGACTTCAGTCATATAGATTAATATCAATATAAAAATGACTTCTTTTTTTTTAACAAAATAAGTCAAAGAGGAATAAAAGTTTATAGTAACAAGGATAAGATTAGTCAGAATCTGTATAACAATTGATGATTTAATAAAAAGACTATATTGAATTCTTTCATTTGAAAAGCCAAGACTTCTATAAGTTCAAATGTGATACTTCATAGTTTTGACAAATGCATAAATTATAAAATTCTAATTACATATAAAGAAAAAGTCTCTATGGTAATATTTTGTAGTATGCCTCCAAATTCCAATTTTTTATAATCAAATGCGGGTTCCAAATGTCAGGTTCATTTACTGCTCTTCTGCTGGTGTCTATCTCAAATCTGATTTATTACCTCACGCTGAGGTCAGTTTACGTTTTATTACACCTTTCTTCCCCTGATTTCAGATATCTATTGTGATGATGCAGTTGTTGGGGCCTGTAATCATTTCATATCATTATGTTTTACGTAGGAGTTATGCCATTTTTTTAATTTTTTTCACAAATTACTAATGTAGTGTTTGCAAAAGATTTTTCTTTCTAGTTCTTTTGTGGCAAGATCTTAGTTGATTATAGGATATCAAATTATGTCGTAATAGCATGACCTACTTTACACTGCAAACCCCACCCCCCACCCCCCAAAAAAAAACAACAAAAGTCATTACTCATTACACATTATATTATGATAGGAGAGTCTTATTTAAGCCTTTAGTTACTTGCACCGAAAGATTCACTGTTCAAACTTATTTTATACACATACAGATGCTCTTTTTAAAACTTTTCTCACTCTCCAATATAATTAATTTCATTTATCTTTTAACTCTCTGGTTCCTGGTGATAGACTGATGCAGTTGATCCTAAGAGCAGGCACAAGGGAAAGCTTGAGACAGAGAGCTTGCTGCAATCAAAGGGTGTTAATTGGACTTCTGTAAGGCCAGTCTACATCTACGGACCCTTGAACTACAACCCTGTTGAAGAGTGGTTCTTCCACAGATTGAAAGCTGGTCGCCCAATTCCTATTCCCAGCTCAGGAATACAGATGACACAACTTGGTCATGTTAAGGTATGAAACTTGCATTTTTACTGTTCTTTAGCTGATCATATTCATTTTGCTTCCAGAGTTATGTATCATGCCTACTATGTTCCATTTTTTGTAATTTGAAGACTTGGAAGCATAAATATTTTATTTAAGCTACCTTTCTTCTCGCTGATGCTTCTTTATCAGAAAGAAATTTTAAATGCTTGCCTTCTAAGATGATTTTGAAGAATAATAAATGCTCTCCTATGAATGAAATTAATATGACAATATGTAAACTCATGGCATTTTGTGATTTTGGCTAAAGTATGGTTCAATTATGACAGGATTTGGCAAGAGCTTTTATTCAGGTTCTTGGTAATGATAAGGCCAGCAAGCAAGTGTTCAATATCTCAGGAGATAAGTATGTTACGTTTGATGGATTAGCAAGAGCATGTGCTAAGGTAAGCAATTCATCTCATATAATATTTAAGGCTCCAAACAGAGAAAAATGGAAAAATTGTTCGATAATGTCATGTATATTGACTTTGAGCCAAGTATTTTACTATCCTAGTATTCGTTTGTTTTGTCATTTTTCAGGCTGGTGGGTTCCCGGAGCCAGAGATCATTCACTACAATCCTAAAGATTTTGATTTTGGGAAAAAGAAGTCATTTCCATTTCGTGACCAGGTGAAACGACCACACAAATATATGATTCTATAAGAAAAGGGGCGGGTGCAAGTGGTTGTAACTATGCTTCTTTATTTAAAAAAAAAAATTAAAAAAATGACATCAATATATAGCCTAACGATATAATGAAATACCGTTGATTTTTTATTTTTATGTTTTTAGTATAGAATACGGTTGATTTTCTTTGGGACACCTCTTTCACCGCATATATTCTTTATGGTGAATAATATTGATATGCCATATTCTTTATTGTGTAGCATTTCTTTGCATCAATTGAGAAGGCAAAGAGCGTGCTTGGGTGGGAACCTGAATTTGGCCTTGTAGAAGGTCTTGCGGACTCGTATAACCTGGACTTTGGCAGAGGGACTTTCCGGAAAGAGGCCGATTTTTCAACAGATGACATAATTCTTGGCAAGAGTCTTCTTACTGTTAGTGCATGATTATTCTTCTTTCAGTTATCAGTATTTCCCATATAAATTAAAAGAGCTGTTCTGCTATGCTATAATGTCATCAGATAAAGTTGTGTAATGTTCCTCAGTTTTTCATGCAGTGATTCTTTTTTAAATAAATAATGGTTTTGCCTTCAATTTAATTCTTTCTGATGGAAAATGGGTTCAAACTTGCACGCGTAGTAGATTTCTCTAAGAACAAGTTCAATGCGCGAACTGTAAAAATTGTTGATTGATTGTGTGTGAATTTTTTATATAACGTATTCAAATTCTTTTTACGTTATCATCGAATGATATGGTGATAAATCGTAATTTTTTAATCTTTCTATCTAAAACAATATTATTTTGGTAGTAAATATATATAATTTGTTTGTATTCACTGTAGAAATATTAAAAGAAAAATATTTCTTCAGTCACTTATCTCCAGTGAGATGTCGTTTTGGGTTATAAGATTAAAAAAATATAATGATAAAGACTAATATAACTCTGCAATATATTATAATTATAAAAATATTTTGATTTTCGTTCCAAAATGACATCATTTTGAGCTCACTGAAAATAATTTATCTCCATTGACTAGAAAAATCCTTTACCATAGAGCCTTGAAAGAACATATAAAAATTGTTTCTAAATATTTCAAATATTTCTTACACACACTCGGAATCTACGTAAATGTATCAACTATAAGAAATAAATTTCAAAATTCAAATAAATCAATAGTTTTGCTTCTTCTTTTTTCTCATTCAAAAATTGGCAAATAAAAAGCAAAACAAAAGGGAAACAAATAATACGTCATGCCCCTGTGCTTAATTATCCCTTCGGAAATTAATTAATTAATTGTTGCTAACCGTCAATAAATTATTAATTTAAGAGAAAAATATTTCTACGGTTAATGCAGATAAGTTATATGCATTTACTTTTAAAATGATGTCATTTTGAGATTAAAATATCAAAAAATTATAATTATAAAGACTATAATAACATGAAATAAATTAAAATTACAAAAATAACATGATTTTTGTCCCAAAACAACGTCGTATTGGGTTTACTGCAGATAACTGCAGAAAAACGAACCCTTAATTTAATGATCAAGTGATTCAATTTTTTTTGTCCCCACACACTAACACGAGACTTTTCAGTATGCTTTGTCCTCACTCGCACACTTCCCGGGAAAACTTCCCAGGAGGTCACCCATCCCAGAATTGCTCCAAGTCAAGCACGCTTAACTGTGGAGTTCTTCCGATCCGGGCTACCAAAAAGTAGATGCATCTTGTTAGTATAGGTAGTACCAATTAATTCTTATAAGCCATTCCTAACTGTACCGTCCCATACCAGCACAGTCTCTGGAATCCTTCTCTTTCGGGTGTTGATTCGATTCATTCATGAACCCCCAAGCTGCAAGATTTGGCATAAGTCGCTCATTGTCCGTGCCCTTTCGCACCGGCGATCACTCCCTGCCTTTGCCAGCTCTTGGGATGTTACATGCCCACCAGCTTCCGCCTGGTTCGTCCTCGAACCACACCGTACTGGAAGAGAGGCCCTGCTCTGATACCAAAATGTAACAGCCCCAAACCCTGTAGCAGGATATTGTCCGCTTTGCCCCGCGCACAAGCACCGTCGAGCTCACGGTTTTACGTTTCGGGTTACCCCAAAAGGCCTCCTACAAGAAAAGGTATCAACACCCTTATATAAGGCATGCTTCGTTCCCCTCTCCAACCGATGTGGGACATTACATCCTCCCCCACTGGGAATACAGCGTCCCCGCTGTACACACCGGTGATGATGATATGGCAACGGTAAGAACATGAAATGATGATAATGATATCTGCATGCATTTTTATATCATGATGCACTTTTCTGTTTGGTGTGTGACCACATTTCATGGCATGTACACATTAGATCGATGTAGGCTTTGAAATTGTAGAATAGTTATATACAGGATCTTTTAAAAAATAATGTGAAAATCTTACTATACAAATAATCTTTTTTTTTGGTGAGCTACTATACAAATAATCTTACTATATAGCTTTTATGTTTTGTGTGTGTAATTTTCTGTTTTCTGAATAAAATAATTCATTTTATTCATATATATGTTTAAATGTGTTCTATTACATTTTTATTCTATTTTTTCTAAATATTTATTAAATAACTGATTTAATGATTTTAATATTTATGATATATATAAGTTTGATTAGGAAAATGAATTTGATTTCTTAGGATGTGCATGACAACTATTCTAAAAAAATAATTCTTTTATATTTTTATGCCTTGGAACAGTGTCTGAGAAAAAGATGTGTTTGATAACATATTCTATTTTAATCTGAAAATGAGAATTGTGTTTGAAAATAATTTCTATTAAACATAAAAAAATTTGGATTATCACTTTTCCTTTTATATGGTGGTGGTGGTTGCCACGGTGATGACGTGGTGGTGGTGACGACATTAGCTGCGATGTTGGTGTTGGTGGTGACGGCAGTAGCCGCGGCAGTGGTGGTGGAAATGGTGGTGGCAATGATGGAGGTGGTAACGGCAGTGGCTCCGACAATGCTGGTGGCGTGATAGTGGTGGCATGGTAGTTGTGGTGATGACAGTAACTGCAGCGGTGGCATGTGATGGTGAAGGCATGGTGGTGACGATGATGATAGAGGTGGTGATGTAGGTGGTGATGGTGGCATGGTGGTATAGATGGATGGAGGCGATGGTGATGGTGACAGTGACATCATGGTGATAGTGGTGGTGATGGTGACGGCACTGGTGGTACGATGGCGGCGCGATAATGGTGGCGGTGGTGATGATGGTAGAAATGAAGAGTGATTGAGAATGACAAAGTGTTTCTCATTTTGTTTCCGAGAACAAAAAAAAATAGAATTTTTTTTATTCTTTTTTCTGTTTCCCAACATAAAAATTAAACCGGTTTATTTCAGAAAAATAAAATAAACTGATTTATCAAACGAATTTCCTATCCATTTATAGTCTCGCGAACAGAACCTATTCAATTTATCTATTTTTCATGTCTAAACTTGTCCATTTAAAATCATATTTTATAAAATTCTAAAAAAAAAATTATACTATAAAAAACTAATTTTTTCTTTCTTTGGCAAATTAATTGAGATTCATAAAATAAATATATTCTGACGTGCGAATATATTTTATCTCCACCTTTGCATTTATTTCAACTAATTTATCTAAACTCGATCCTGTCCAAATACATTTCCTATAAGCCACACGAATAATTGGCAATGCAATAAATATTTTGAAAAATGTTAAGGGAGATGTTATAGTTACAACTTTTTTTTTTTCACACTCTCTTACAACCATATATCATAACCGTTGGTTTTCGCCAATCAACGGTTATGATTTTCGCAAATTAAAATCATTAATCAATTATTAATTCATAATAAATGACCGTTGATTGGCGGAAATCAACGGTTATGATATATGGTTGTAAGAGGTTGTAAAAAAAAAGTTGTAAGTATAACCTTCCTCAAATGTTAATTGTACAAAATAAAACGTCATTCAAAATCATACCCGTAAGATTTTTCCCCGTTACTAACATTTCTCCATGCATTAACCGTTTATCAATTAAAACTGGTCCAATTTTATCAAATCCTTCGAATCAACTAATTAATATAAATAAACGGGTTAATTTATTACAAAAAAAAAGGGTTAATTAAACTGATTAAGATGTAATAAATTAAGGGAAAATTGTGTGTCATTTAAAAGGATGTAAATTTGTGTCATTTTAAGAGAGAAAAAGAGATAGATAAAGAATGAGAGAGAATTGACAAAAAAAAATAAAGGTGTGGGTCCCACTTCTTTATGAGAGTGAAAGGATATAAGTTGTGTCATTTAAAAGGATAAACACTCTTTCCATAAATTAATAGATCCAAACTAGTTGATTCAATTTAATCCGTGTTCTCGTGTTCAAATATTTGATACACGTGTTAAAATTTTAGTAGGTGGAGTTTTATTACTTATGTAATCTTAACTGCATCGATGGTGTGAAACAAAATTTAAGATATTATGTATTATTTCACTCTCACAATGAGACGAGACTCATATCTTTATATTTTTTGTTCATTCTCTCTTTCTTTGTCTATCTCTTTCTCTCACTTAAAATGACATAACTCTACATCTTTAAAATGATACACAATTTTCCCATTCATTTATTTCATGTTTCAACTTTTAGTTGAGTATCTTACAGATTTATTGCGTTTCCCCTTTTCTTTGGGATAAGATATTATTACTATCAAATAATGTTATTATCATATCTTAAATTATTGATTTCCGTCAATCAACGGCTATCATTTATTATGAATTAATAATTAATTAATTAATTTAATTTGTAAAAATAATAATCATTGATTGACAAAAATCAACAGTTAAGATATGATAGTGATACTGATAATAATATTATTTGATAGTAAGAATATCCTATCTTTTATCTTGTAAAATTTATTTTAGTCATTATATTACAGATTTTGATCCAAACAAAGTTATCATATTATAAATAAATAAAAAAGAAAATCTAGCTTTAATTTCCCTCAATCACTCCTATATCATAGGAAATAAAAGAAAAAAAATTCCCTCGAAGTTATAAGAATATATTATTGACTGCTTTATTTGTCATGGAATATATCCTGTTCACGTGAATATGGAATAGTAGTGAAAATAGGAGGACATTAATTAAAAAGATTAAAGACAATGGAATAAAAGAAGAAAATTCCCTCAATTAAGTTATCCGAATATATTATTCAGTGCTTTATTTGTCATGGAATACATCCCGTTCAAATGAATAAGAAATACTGACCGTTTAAAGACAATGGAATATTCTCAAAGGAATATTTCATACCGTCAATTTCTTTTAGTAGAAGCAAATGAATAAGAAATAGTAATAAAATAGGAGGACATTAATTCAAAAGATTAAAGACAATGGAATATTCCCAAAGGAATATGTCATGCCTGATTCCCTGTGCAGCCTGTCAATTTCTTTTAATTGAAGCTGTCTTTATGAGGGTCAATTTTACCTATTCTGTTGGTCCAACTTAACCTTGCAATCTCACTCTTTAAGGCAAAAATATATATATTCAATTTTGGCACATAAACCATACCATCTACACATTCATATTTTTCATGGTCGGTTAAGTCGGAAGTCTCACCAACATTATCCTCCAAAGAGTAGAGTAATGTTATATTTCACTTTCATTATCCCAAACTGCTCCAGTTAAGTGCACGATGACGACCTTCATTAAATTTGAGCTGGTCTTGCTTTTGGACCAACTAACCATACCGGAAAAAACGTCCATGCGCCGAGCCACCGTTGGTCCAACGAAGGTACACTAATCGCCACGTGGCGATACCAAGGCCTCTCTTCAAATCATGCCGACACATGTTCCACCATATACGGAGATGCTGGGTGTTAGACACGCAATGGATTTTATGGACCCCACCAAAAAAAAGTATATTTTAATTATGATTAAATTATTAAAAAGAAAACTAAAGTGTAGTGATTTAGAAGCCACGTGGAATAAATGTTGACGTGGCGACTCAGAAGGGTCGGACCCACATAATAATGGACCCACTTCACGTACGACATTGCTATTTACGTTAAAAGTAATAGCGATTATATGTAAAGCCACGTGTCCAGTATTCTGTCGACGTGCCTCTCACTCAGGTAACTTTCGTGGAAAATTGGTTCATAACGGAAAAATTGATCCGTAATTAGCTAGGGGTAGTAGGGCCAGTCGGTGATGATAAATCTTCCTGCTGGGGCGGTGGCAGTTAACCACAAAATTAATATTTTAATACTTGCTTAAACAATTCGCAAATTCCTAATGTAGTTAAAAATGGGTTTGATTAATCTAATGTTAAAGGAGATAAGTTATCTTATATCATAGAGATAAATTTGTGGGTTCCACCATCTGAAAAATAAAAATAAAAAAAAAGAAAAAGGTGACACAATTATCGAAAAGTGTGTAAGAGAGAAAATTATCACATGTATTATAAGAGTAGTTTTTCTTGTAGTTAAATCATATTATAACTACATATTTTAACATTAGCTAAAGATTCGACAATTTCAGTTTGGGGCTCCTGCCCTTTTAAACTACCAAAAAATAAAAAGATTCGAGTTAGTACTGAAAAGCGTGTATAAAACGTATTTCACGATTTGAGTTTTAAGTTTTGATCATTTGTAAGTTTTACTTGTTAATTATTATTTCTCTATTAAGAATATTATACCATTTGTTAAGAATAATTTGTTGATAAATAATAGCATCAAGCTAATATTTTTCATCATATTATTGGTACTGTTATAATATTTTTTTTACATTCACACGACAAATTGAATTTGCTATAAAGTTAAATACTAACGAGGAGAAAGAAAAGAAAAAACAAATCAACACAAAACAAAAGGGGTAGTTATGATGAGAAGTCCGTACCATTACTGATAACATTATCCTTATATTATTTGTTGAAATGCTAACTTTTATAGTCAAATTATGACAGTTTTGAAAGAGGTTAAACCACCAGATTGAATAGGATGAAAATTTCCAACAAAGGTGGACCAAAACGATAATATACATTAAGTAAATTATTTAATGTGAGATTATCTGGCACCGACCGTATCCGAAGATGCTATCTTGAATTAAATTTAAAGGTTAACAAGCATACCCTCTGATAGGCTCAAGTTCTATATAAGACACCCTCTACCCTCGATCATTTCACACACTGCAATACCAAATCACTTCTTTGCTTTGAAAAACACTCTCATTTCTTACTTGTTTCCTTAAACATTTCTTTTTTCTTTCCCCTTTTCCTAGCTCACTGAGATCATGGCTCCTATTATCACCCCAGCTGCTGCAAATGCCACCACTGAACAATCCAAGACTGCTAGCAGGAGTGACCGTGCCTTTGTCACTTTCTTGGCAGGGAACGGTGACTACGTCAAGGGTGTTGTGGGTTTGGCTAAAGGACTGAGGAAGGTCAAGTCCATGTATCCTCTTGTGGTTGCGGTCTTGCCCGATGTTCCTGAAGAACACCGTCAGATTCTTCACTCACAAGGTTGTATTGTCAAAGACATCGTGCCGGTTTACCCGCCGGAGAACCAGACCGTGTTTGCACATGCCTATTATGTTATTAATTACTCCAAATTACGTATTTGGGAGGTACATGTTCTTGTTTTTTTGTTGTTGCATGTGTTACATGTTGTATTCGTATCTTTTGCTTTAACCGAATTTTTTATTCTTTTTTGTGCTTTAGCAATTGTAAACAAAGTAGTGTTCTGTTTTAACTGTATGGCAGATTCTGATGTGTTTCTTTGTTGTGATTTAAACATTAATTGTTGCAGTTTGTGGAGTACAGCAAGATGGTATATCTAGATGGTGACATTCAGGTTTTCGGAAATATTGATCATCTGTTTGATCTGCCTGATAATTATTTTTATGCGGTGATGGATTGTTTTTGTGAGAAGTCTTGGAGTCACACCCCTCAGTTTAAGATTGGGTACTGCCAACAGTGCCCTGATAAGGTTCAATGGCCCTCTGAATTTGGTCCCAAGCCTTCTCTATATTTCAACGCTGGCATGTTTGTCTATGAGCCTAGTCTGGACACGTGCAATGATCTCCTGAAAAAAGTTCAAGTCACTGAGCCTACTTCCTTTGCTGAGCAGGTTTGTTCAATCGATCGAAAACATGCCTTTTGTTTTATGAAATAAAAATAAATAAATTGAAGTGTTGAACCTCAAAGGGTAAGCTTAAATTTGTTTTCATGTGTTGCAGGACTTTCTGAATATGTACTTCAGGGACAAGTACAAGCCCATACCTAATGTGTACAACCTTGTGCTGGCCATGTTGTGGCGTCACCCTGAGAATGTTGAATTTGAAAAAGTTCAAGTGGCTCACTATTGTGCTTTTGTGAGTGTGCTATTTCTTACTATGCTTCTCTATACATTCATTTAACTTAATTTCTGTTTCTTTTTGAGATTTGAATTAATGTTGATAAATGGTTGTTTGTTTCATTTAGGGGTCTAAGCCATGGAGGTTCACTGGGAAGGAGGAGAACATGGACAGAGAGGATATCAAGAAATTGGTGGACATGTGGTGGGAGATATATGACGATGAGACACTTGACTATAATAACACTGTCAATGTGGAACATTTCAAGGGGGCGCTTTTGGAAGCTGGTGGCGTTAAGTTTGTGCCCGCTCCATCCGCTGCCTAATTATGCTTTGCTTATATACAGCAATTAAGTTAGACAAGTACATTGTCGTTATTTACACTTTCCTTTTTGGGTCTTCTAAAGAAACGAGTATGGCTGTAATTTGGATGACCTTCCCGTGTAGGGAGTCACATATCACATAGCTTTTGATTATTAGGATTTAGAGGACCTTTTTTTTTTTTTTTTTTGTGAGAGTCCGGTTTACTTTGTTTTCCTTGATAACCCGTTATGGGCTGTGGATATCATCCCTAATAGTGTTAAATGGATTAAATGGAAATTTTTATTTTAGCTGTATTTTTTTCCCTCTGTTCATTACTATAATATCTTTCATCGTTATTTCCGCTCTCGTTTTGATTTACATTAGAAGAAAAAGGCTATAATTGCGCCCTGGCTGTGCATGACCGGTTAGTATTGGAGTTTTTGCACGCCGATTAATCGTATCAACACGTTACTTTTATTTTATTTTTATTTTGGTAAAAGTCAACACCGTTAGTTGCTTACACTATTCGGTCCAAATCCAATGTTATACATCTTCAATCTAAACAACGTAATCGCTAATTACCATGAGCATCGGGACGCGTGTCTGGTTGAGCCCCGAATCATCATATACATTATCATGTTACCCTAAGCTCATCTACTTCTATAGGTTGATGTATAGACTGCATTTCTGTACATATAAATTATATATAAAAAAATTGTCTCTCTGTGTAAAAAAAAATAAAAGTAAAAATTGCCTGTGTCTTTTAGCTCAGACCTATTCTATCCTGGTAGCAAGCCTTTCTACCTAAACAGTTATGATTTACTAATAAATTCTCCAAGCCCCAACCAACAAACATATACCCTCTCCATGGGACTTAGCCGCTTATGAATATCCCAAATATAATATGATAATTTTTTTTTTCGTACCTGCTACACATACAGTCAAGATACGGACTCGAATTTTACTATATGACAGAGATATTTAGTCTAATGAGTGGATATGTTAATCTTGAATCTAATATCTTCTCTAAAGTATCTATGAATGAAATATCCTTATTATATTGACATACTATTTATTCTACATATAGGAAACATTCACCACATTTATGTCCCTTTCACTGTATAATCCTTGAAAAGAACACTTTGTTGAGTTAAGATAATTTCAATTCCTTGATCTATTATCCATGGTGAGAGTTTTTGGAAAAAAAATGTTAAAGTTACGTCGAGCCGTTTAGTTGAGTTTATGTCCTCTCGAGTCGATGATTTGATCATATTCATGTCACCTTCATCCAATCCATGTTCGTAACATTTAAATTTGAGCCAAAACTTACTGGAAAAGACGGCTAACACCGAAGGGGTATTGGGCTTAATATAAGTCGAGATGGAAGGTACAACTTGGAAGCTTAGTTTATGAACTTTAAAGCTCAAACAAGCATAGACGTTTTTCTGCCGAGTCTGTTTTTTTTTTTTTGATAACATTTATCATAGAAAATTTGCAGTCAATTGCAAATATTCATGAATTTCTCCTCAAACAAAAAGACAATTCCCATCTTTACACCCATCTATAAATCCCACGTTAATTTGGTTCAGTTACAAAATTCTTTGGTTTTAATTACTTTATGGGAAAAACACCGTATAAAGGAGAGGATTCAAATCGGAATTGATCGATCGGTGCGGTTTCTGTTAAATTCATTATTTGGTCTTCATTCTCTTCGTCAACGTCAGTAACAATTGCTACCAGCCTGCCTCGTGATTCTAACCCAAATCCAACGGCACACAAAAGCCAACCGTTGCAGCCAGCCTAGGTACTCTCCAACAAACACAAATCCAACGGTGCAGACTACTTGTACTCTCAACGAGTTATTGTTTCATTTAGGAGTCTATGCCATAGAAGTTATACCGAAAAGAAAGATAACATGACTAGAGAGAAGATATCAGGAAACTAACGAAGAAGTGGTGGGAGATATACGAGGATGGGAGATTGTACCATAACAACACCGTCAACGGGCAGCGTTCGGAAGCTAAAGTACAGTAATTAAGTTGGACCGAGAATATTCATCATTTACTTTTTTGTTTTTGGATCTTCTAAATAAACGAGTATGGCTTTAATTTGGATGTGCTTCCCGTATATAGGGGAGTCACATATCATATATAGGTTGTCGTTGTTTACTTTTAAAGAGTCTGTTTACTTTGTTTTCCATTATAAGCCATCATGGGCCGGCCGTGGATACCTTTTGATTTAATAAAATGAATGTTTTTATTTTCGCGGTAATTTTTCTCCTGTTAATTGATATCTTTCTGCCTTATTTCTGTTCTCGCTTTGATATAAATAAAATAATGATAATAAACTTATAATTGCTGATTTGGTATTTCTAACATCATTCCTTAATTGGCATTTAGTTGCTTACACTATTGGGTCCAATGTTCTACGTCTTTTTTTTTTTTGTAAGGAAATGTTCTACCTCTTTAAACTAAACAACATTGCATCGAACGATATGTAACTGTGTCATCTCATATATATATGTTTAATGTGCGCCTAGCTTTTGTGCAAACTTCTCTCAATTTCATAATTGCTAATTACAATGAGATGAAAGGCCGCTTGTTTCTTTTTGAATTCCAAATGTTATATGCATTAAAAGAAGGGATAAATTATTCTCATGCTATAAATAAGTTTTTTTTCCTACACACCTTTCGACAATTGTGTCATCTTTTTCTTTTCTTTTTCTTTTTTTAAGTGGTGGAGCTCACAAATTTATCTCTATAACATGAGACAACTTATCTTTTTTAACATAAAATTAATAAAACTCTTAAAAAAAATGTAGTTATCTTTTATCTCTTATTTATACTGGTGCACGTCGTTAGGAAATTATATTAAATGCAATGGATATCTTAGCAGCAAAATAGTAGTGATTGAATATAAACTTTTCAAGCAGCCAACAGATATATAATATCACTTTTTTTCCCAAAACAATATTAATATATCGTCCAACAAATATCTGGGCCATCTTTGAATATACTGTATAAACACTATTATTTTTACGATAAGTGCACTTGTCGAGTTCGCAACAGCACACATGTCAAGCAATATGGGGTTTTCATTAGGGGTGTTCATCAACCGATTCAAACTGCGGTGACCGAACCGAAAAATCGATAACCGAATAAACTGAAAATCGAAAAAAAATCCGCAAATTTTAATTGGATTGGATCGATTTTCGGATGGGTTGATGAAAACCGATCCAATCCAAACCGATCCAATATATTAATTTTTCTCTACCTATTTGGGTTTTTCCCCAATCATAGCCCAAAATTTTTTAAACCCAAGACATGTTAACCCATCAACTACACCCTAGAAAAAACTTAATCACATCTTATCAACAAAATTTCATCTGTGTAGGGCTTCATATCTTATCGCTAAAAAAAAACCATATTATTATTTACTGATGCTTTTGTATTTCAAAATAAATAAATTTACAAAGTCAATATATACAAAATATGTTATTTGCACAATAATCATAAAACAAATTTTAGGATTTTCAAAAAACTGAAAATCGATCCAATCCAGACCGCGAACACCCCTAGTTTTCATGAGCCCCATATTATCGTCCTTAGGGATAAATTGTAAAACAAGCTTTTTAAAATAAAAATTAATTACAAATGAGATGCACGAGTTAGTTGGGAGCAAAGCAGAAAGTAAAGATCAAATAGTCGAATGAGGAATGGTAACCTATGTAGCACCGACGCGACACGTGACACGACACTCCGACACGTCAATCCTAAAAATATATGGATTTTGACACGTTGGGACACGTTTTAATATTAAATAATATTTTTAATTTATATAGCGTATATTTAATTTAATATTCAATAATTTAACAAAAAAATGAAACTAAATTAATAATACCCATCAACACGTTATAAATAGGGTTGGCAAAACGGCCAACCCCGCTCGACCCGTAAAATCGGGTCGGGTTAGGGTTGGCTCGAAAAAATAAACGAGCCAGAAAACCCAACCCAGCCCAACCCGAGTTGGGTTAGGGTTGGCTCGATAATCAGCTCGTGGGTTGGCTCGGAAAAAAACTCGCGGGTTGGCTCACAAAAAAAGCTCACGGGTTGGCTCGAAATGATGCCAGTGGGTTGGCTCGAAATGATGCCAGTGGGTTGGCTCAAAAATTGATTTTTGTGGAACTAGTCTTATTTGTTCTCCAACACTGCATAAAATTATCAACACTGCCAAAACTATTGATTGTCTAATGGATAATGGTGTAAATACAGTAACTAATAAAACATAACCAATAAATTAAGAAATCCCAACATAGTAGTAGACAAACACATTACAAAATAAAAATTGTCCTATGAGTTCCCATGGCCAATACAGAACAATATCAAAATCTAAACATCCAAAAGTACACCATCATCATTAGATCATCTACAAAGTTTCATGACCATTAGATCCCCGTGAAGAAGTTAATATATGGGAAATACCATCTTCATCATCATCATCATCATCTACAAAACACAAACCATAAAATGTAAATAGTCAATTAAGGTTACAATGACAAATGAAAATGAAATTTTAATTGCATTGAAAATAAATAAATTACCATTGGCATCAAAACCAGCCAACCAATTGCGGGTACATACCAAAGCTTCAACATTCTTTGACAACAACTTATTTCTATATTTGTTAAGCACACGTGATCCAATGCTAAAAGCAGATTCAGATGCCACAGTGGTAATAGGAATGCTTAACAAGTCACGAGCCATTAATGATAGATTCAGAAAACAGACAACTATTATCCTTCCACCATTGCAATGCATCAAAACTATTCCAGTTGTCAATAACCAATATAGGCTCCTCTAAATAAACATCAAGTTCAGATTTTCCAGCATTTATTGCAAGTTGTTGATTATGCAAGAACAATTCCTATCATATTTGAGAAGTGCAAAAACATAATAATTGAAGTAAGTAAGCACATGCATATAAATAAAGGCGTGAAAATAAATATGATATAACATAATTGAAGCTTTTTGCTAAACATGAACTTACATCAAAGATCTCATCATTCCATCCTCTCGTTTCCATTGACCCTTGACTTTAAGAGTGAGTGTTATCTTGACTTTGATCAATGGTAGTTGATGAATTAATGTTTACATAATTCTCAAAGAGCTTATACACGTTTGCCTTTATATTTTCCATCTTGTCATCATGTGTGTAAGCATCAATCTTTTTATGACAAAAAGATAATGTAGTAAACTTAATCCGAGGATCAAGAACAGCTCTTACTGAAAGCACATCACTATACTCTTCCCAATATTTTTGAAACTTATCCATCATCTTATTAGCCATGTTGCTTACAACCACATCTTCATCATTACTCATATGAATGAGAACACGCTGAATTTTCCAAACTTGTAGAAAGTACAAGTTAGAAGTAAGATAAGAAGTGCCAGACATCAAATTAGTGATATCACAAAATGGTTGTAAGAACCGACAAAGAATTTCCAACCTATTCCACTCTTCTTCTAAAGGATAATACTTGTAATTTCTATCACTCAATTGGAGAATTTCCAACTCACGCCTGAATTTGAGAGCACGATTAAGCATTTCATAAGTGGAATTCCATCTAGTGGGTACATCTGCTATCAATGCAGTTACAGTTTTCGCACCACCAACTTGTTCAATGCACTCCTTAAATTTGATCATTCTTGATTCTGAGCCTTTTATATATTGAACACTCTCTCTAATCTGAGACAAGGCATCATTTGCAACTTTTACTCCTTCTTGAACAATCCTATACATGTGAACTACAAAATAACATGTATAATCTCAAAAGACAGCATCGTCATGTATCACTACTAATCCAAATAAGGCCACTTGCCACCAGAGGCTCCTGCAGCATCTTTACCTGAAAGGGGGTCCCCATAATACGGGGTGAGATATACGAATATATCATAGTAAACCAGGGGTCCTTGGAGCATCTCTCCACCCCATAGTTCAATCACAGTGTAATAGCAATAACAATAATAATGCAATAAATACATATCCATGCAGTGTGTAAACAACATCTCCAGGAGAAATCCCTCGAGCTCTCAAGCTGTCCTAAGGATACTCAGATGCAAATAGTCATACTAGCCAGCTAAACTACCAAGTATGATTTACGCATCGTCATGCAACATACCAACATAGGGAAACACCATCCTATGCCATACCAAAGCATACACATATGTATAACAAGGCATTAAACTATTTCATTGCATTTATATACACTATCACAACCACTACCCATTCCGGGATTGGTGGAACAATAAAGAGAATTACACTAAAGGTCCGAAGGCTTACCTTAAAGCTTCCGTTCAACCTCTGTTCTTCACCAATTACAATTCTCACTTTTATAAACAACCACCTACACAACATGTAATGAAATCAACATATTGCATTCAAGATTATCACATAATCATCAACCAAGCTATCCAATTCATACTACAACGAGATATGAACTTACCTATTCCAAGGAGCTAATCAAGCTCCATAGCTTGCTCCAATGGTTGATCACTCACGGTTGGTCCAAATGCCTCAATCCTAGACATCACATGGACATAATTATTATTCAACCAAACCATTGATCATAATTGCAAGAAAACCCACAATCAAGTATCATATTCTTGCAATTTTCAAAGTATAGTCATACAACTATCTAAGCTCATTTTCACCTATTCATTATCTTTCCTAGCATTTTCCACAACCTACACTAAGCCTCAATTCTACAAGAACATAGCAATTTACTCAACTTTTCATTAAAACCCTAAGCACTATTCATCATCTTCCCCAATCATGCAATCTCCAAGAAAATAAGGTTCAAGGAGTAGAATCTTACCACCAATGGTTGCACAATCAAGGAGTGATGGTTCCTCAAGCTTCCAAGGAGGTAGAAGCCAACAAATCCCTCACTTCTCCTAAGGGTCGGATTTTTGGAGGTATGATTATGGAAGAGGGGAAGATTTGGAGTGATTTAGGCTTTGGAATGGATGAATTTGGCTAAGGTTTGCTCACTCTAGGGTTTCCCCCTTCTTCTTCCCTCTTCTCCCTCTCTTCCTTTCTTTCTTTTCTTCTCTGCTAGTCGACGGGAATGGGAGGGAATTGGGTCTTTTCTTTTTATTCTATAGCCACTTAAGTTAAGTTAAGTTGCTTTGAGCGGGTATTAGCTCGTCTATCTATTTAACTCCATTAAACACCAAACTTTACCCTAAAGTCTGGAATATTTTTCTAGGAATATTTTCACTTATATTTTTATATTTTGGGTACTTTTGCCTACACTCATTTATACCCCTTAATTTTCACAGAGTACACTTTTTACCCGAAAAGTGACCCCAATTCACTTAATTAAGCCCTATACTTAATTTTTACTCACTAATACATGTTTAATTATTCAATCATATTTAATTTACTAATTAATTAGGTTAGGGCTATTATAGTTTGCAACATAGGAAAAAAACGGATTTGAAAGATGGATTTTGAAGATGTAAAGACACTATAATTTTTTACCTAAATAGCAGTATCAAGCCACAATTGTACAGGAATTGGTGAACCAAGAGTAGATGTTATAAGTCCAGCTCTTTCACGAGCTTTATGATCGAATACCTCCAACTTGAAAATAACGGAAGTCGGAAAGCATCCAGATAGTTTCGAAAATAATTTAGAAAACAAAGTGACAAGACCTTACCGTGAACTAGTGATGGTGATGGTCGCACAGTTCTTCCGTTCGGTTGTCCGAGGATGGTGATGGTCGCAGGCAAAGGGCAGTCGCAGGGTTCAACCGTTCGGTTGGGAAAAGGGGGCAGAGCCAGAGATTAGCTAATTTAGGGTTGGAAAAAAAGAACGAGAAAGAAAGTGACCCGTTCGAATTATTAATTTAAAAAAAAAAGCCAACCTGCGAGCTGGCTGTTTGACCCGCGAGCTGGCTCGTTTGAGTTAGGGTTGGATCAGGTCGGGTTGAATCAAGTTGGCAGCTCATTTAAGCCAGCCCAACCCGACTCATTTAGGACGGGTTGACTCGTTTTTGCTAACCTTAGTTATAAAGGTGGAAGCTTTAATAAAAAAATCAGGAACTGGGATGAGAGAGAGAGAGATAATATCAGATAGAGAGATCATACCAGATTAGAGAGAGATCAGAGAGAAGGAGATACAGCAAGAACGTAATAGAAATTGACAACAATGATGCTGAGATGATCTCTTATCTACTTAAGGGGGAAAAAAGGCAAAAAATAAATAAATTGATATGATCAGGTGAAAGATTTATTAATATATTTTATTTTTTTTAAAATATTTTTTTTTTCAAAAATACTTTTTTACGAAAATGTCATTTGAGCATGTCGGAACGTGTCAAACACAATCAAATTCGCGTGTCGAAATGGTCAACATGTCGGGAATGTTGACCGCGTGTCGGACACCGTGTCGGAACATGTCTGAGCGTGTCGGCGTGTCGGTGTGTGTCAGACACGGCACTCTCTGTTTTTTGGAGTGTCCGTGCTTCCTTGATGGTAACAAATAAAATAGACACACAAAAACAATTTGGCTCAAGATAAAAAAAATCGTAGGCTAAGGTTGGTATTTTCGCCCCTTGGTCATTCCTAAAACTCCATCTACTCCTAAAAATGTATTTTTTGCTTCGGGTATTCTTCATTGCCTTGGACACAGATTCCTCTAACACCAAGTTTTACTATCTAATGTGGTTATTGTATATCCCTATGCCCTAAACAACCTTAGGAGTTCTATTGTATTAAGACCCAAGGAAGATTGTGCTTGCCTCTTATTCCTAAGGCAACATGAAGAAGTTGCTACGGAATAACTCTACACACAATAGATGCTCCTCGTTCTAGAGATTCCTCGTTTTGTCAATGATTTTCACTAGCATGGATGTTTTACACTACCAGGAGCATTAGTGCAGAAGCATCACACATTCCATTACAGAAAATAGATTTATATAATAAGTTCAACCTAAGACAAAGAGAGATGCATCTACTTCACCCTTGCCTACTAAAAAGACTCAGTTATACTAAGGAGCAATACAATAGAAAAACAAAGAACAACATAAAACAGAAAATTAAACTAAAAACGAAATGGTCTGGAGCAGCACAAAGAAGAAGACGGTGAAACTACCCAAAGACCCCTACAATTGTGTCTTCTCTCGTATTTATAAGCCACAAGTTCTTCAAAGGTGTTGTCTTGGTCATTGATTTGATCCAACGATTAGGATCACGTTCTGCTCCTGATGGGGACGTCGCTTCTGCCAGCTCAGCTTTGGTTATATGGGTTATTTTTCTTTTTCTTCTCCATTTTGCTAAAGTGTGTGCTATTAAGGAGCTGTAAAAATCGTGCAAGAGGCCATCCATACTTGTCTCCCATATTTTGTTCTCATTTTATGTTTGTCCGTTGCTTTTTTGGCTGTATTGTTGCTTTTTCAGACAAAGGACAACAATGCTACAATGCTTTTTCTCTCTCCTTCTACTTTTTCAGCTTTTGTATGCTCTTTGTCTTTTTTCCCCGTCATTTTCTCTTCTTTTTCCCTCTAGATTTGTTGTAATCAGAGAGATAATGAAGTTAGATGATGTGTCATTACTTAGATGATGTGTCAACATTTGTATTAGTCAAGTTAGTTAGTCGGTTAACTACCCTTGTATATATACCTTTGTGTACTGTGTAATCGAGAGGGTATTCATTCTAAGAAAGCATTGCATGTTATTCATCTTCTGGTCTCTTCTTCTTCTCTGATATGGGTTTCATCATTTTCCCTCATGTTCTTCTTTGCTGTTTTCATGGTATCAGAGCTTGAAGCTCTGGTATCCATCATCTTCCGCTACTTTTGATTCAAGTTCTTCTCCCATGGCTGCATCGCATCTAACCATGGAGAATTTAAACCAAACAGAAAACCAAAACCCAAACCAAAACCTCAATAACCAAAACCCAAACCAAAACCTCAATAACCAAGATCCAAACCAGAACCTCAATGAGGTAAACAATCCAAAAAAGGATCATATTCAATTTTCTGATTTTTTCAATAATCCAAGAAATCCTCTCTACCTTCATCCTAGTGAAAATCCATCCACCATACTTGTTTCACCATCTTTGCATGGATCGAACTATCACTCCTGGTCACGAGCTATGCGAATGGATCTCGGTTCCAAGAATAAATTGTGCTTTATAGATGGATCTATGCGAATTCCTTCAAGATCTGATGAAACTTTCTCAGATTGGGAAAGATGCAACCACACTGTTATAGGCTGGATCCAGAGATCAGTTGATAAATCTATTGCACAATTGATTTTATGGATTGATTATGCTGAAGATGCTTGGAATGATCTTAAGGATCGTTTTTCTCAGGCTGATGTGTTTCGTATCTCAGATTTGCAAGATGATATTTGCAAATTAGAGCAAGGAGATAGAACAGTGGCTGCATATTACACTGAGTTGAAGATTCTTTGGGATGAAGTTGACAACCTGATTCCTCTACCAAAATGCATGTGTCAGGTACAATGTTCTTGTGGTGGTTACACTAGCATGCGAAAAATCAGAGATAGAGATAGAGTCATTAGATTTCTCAAGGGATTAAACAGTCAATATGAACATATCAGTTCACAGGTCATGCTTAATGATCCTCTTCCTACTGTTAACAAAGCTTTTTCCATTATCATCCAACAAGAAAGGAAGTTGAGTTCCATAGTTCATAATGATGTAACAGACACATCTCATGTTTTCACTCATGCTTCTGCATTCAAGAATATTCCTAACATGGGAAGAGGAAA